TTTTCTCCTTCCCTCTCTGCTTTCTCCTTTCGCTCATCCAGTAGAGGGAATCGCCTCTTGATAATGATGCTGATGACCCAATCTGCAGTTTTGATGCGCCTATGCACGGCAAGGCACAACTTGACGACCCGCCAACCAATCGGGCGCGTTCTTGGATTAGTTAGCTAGCCGCCTAGCTAACTAGTGCCTTGGCCCCCGTCGCCGTTGGTGCATTCGTTGTAGAAGCCTAGAAGAAGTTGTCTGGATGACTCATTTTGTGAACAACTTGTTATAGTTGGGCGGTGGTCTATTAGCCTTCAGATGCATAAGAGTCGATACAGTAGAGGTCGGTGATGTTGATACTGGTGACAGATTTCGGTTTGAGAATCTCTTGGAAAATCTATCGGTAGTATGAGCACCCTTATTCTTGTATTGGAATAATCTAGATTGGGAATTCGTATTTAACACCAATGAAACTTTGAAATCACAGGACACATCAATATTGACGTGTAATTGCATTCGTCTACTTTGCTGATGGCTTGAAGCGTTGTTTCATCTCATCATTTTAGACGATTATAAACCCACAAGGGATTCAGATTCCGCGGTTGAGAACACGCTTGACAGCTGCATTAATTTGACAGAAGCAGTTGCAGAGCTGAAATCTCTTTTCAGTGAGATAACCGGTCCAATGCGTACGACCATAGACTCTCTTCTGGCCCAAGTCAAACAATTCGACACAGATGAGGCCACTGCCCGAGACCGACTGCAATACCTACTGCGGGAGATAAGTCTCCTGGCAATCCGCACCCTAAAACGCCAGTACATCTGTGAAGTGAGCCTTGCTTATGAGCAAAACCGGACAAACTGGGTTAACAAACTGCGTGGGCTTCGATCGCTGCAGGAACAGCTTATACAAACCGGAGCTACTGTTGAAATTCTTAACGGGCTTCCAAAGACCGAAGAGACGCCTAAGTCCCTGAAAACTATTCCAGTTGACCTGAGTTACCAGGATGATTGCGTTAGGTGGTTAAAGACACTCAATGGAGCAAAAGTTCAAATTCTGAGTTATAAACTGACTGCAGACCTCCCCAAAATTCCTGATTACTTTCAGAACGTTGAAGAGGAGGTCCGTTTTGAGCCGGAGTATACGCCACAGGAATTGGACACGGCTTCGATTGTAGCGGGAATCTTCTTTGTGACGGGAAGACGGGACGAGATATTGTCTGCTGCCTCCACCTCGCGTGAACCCTTCAGCTTCTACGTGGATGTGGGTCGTCTCACAAGCGATTGTGATCGTTTGAAGACAGGTATGGTAACCCACTGGAACTTCCTTGAGGCCTACTGCACCAGCTGGCTCAGACTTGTGAGAGGAAGTGAGGAATTAGGTAGCAATACTACCGAGTTTCTGGAGAAGACGTTCACGTTGGTAAAGAGTGCGGTAGATCTAATAGACACACGTCTAGACAGACCGGGAAATCACAAGAGATTGTTCGAAATCACTACTCAACTCAGGGAATGGCAAAAGGCCTTTGAATCACCCTCAGAGGTTGAAAACTTGACTGACCTTCCACTTGTCTCTCGTGTACTAGAGTTGCAAGCGGACGGCGAGAAGTTGATTGAATCATTGGCATCTCGAACTCTAGTAGTCAGAGCTCTGCTAGATGCTAACCGAATGGTTTTGCTCAATGCATCAATACGACTATGCGGTATTGCCTATCAGTTGGAGAGGCTAGTCAAAGCGTATGACAGTCGAGAGGCGGCAATTAGGGAGGTGAATAACGTTGTGAAGGAGGCTGAACAGGAAGCAGGTTTCAGGTCTGTCAGCAATCTGGCTGCCAACCTACTGGGCGTCGAGGTTTCCCCAGAAATGTTGGCTGCTGATGAACTGGTTGGTGGTAGCAACCTTAAAACGGAGATTTCTTACAAGTCGGATCTGGAAAGCCTTTTGCGAACGGTTTGGTCTTCTCAAGACCTCTCTAGGTTACTTGCGAGAATATCAAAAGCTCGCACTTATTTGCGAACGCATTTGCCACCGAAACTGATGCATTTGCAACAATCCAGCTCTGCGGCTATTTGTGCTTTTGAGGCAATTATGAACGAAGAGCATCCGAAACCCAGTCTAGAGCGATTAGCAGACGATACAGTCAGAAATAGGATCGTTACAAGGTGTCAGCATTTCTCTGATATTATGGATGAGGCCATAAAGCACTTAGAGGATAAGCATCAGGCGATGACCCTGATAGAAACCAACATCAGCCATATTTGCACGTGGATTGATGAACTCCTTCCTAGAGTTCAATCAGCGACTCATCTCCTTTCCGTTTCTGCTAACGAATCCGCCATTCCTGAAGCGGTACAGTTCGCAGAAACGGTTGAAGACCCCACCGATCTACTGGACTTTTTCAATGCGGAGCGTGAACACTACGCAAAGATAATTGAGCTAACGCAATTGGAAGTCAATTCTGACAGTGAAATCCTTTGCTCCGTTTTCGAGTCACAGACTAAATCCATTGCAACACGGTTTGGTGATCTGGTCAGTGCCGTCAGTGGCATGGAGGATCTTTGGCGTACCTATCTAGCCCAAGACGATGCAGTGAGACATGAGCTTTCGCGTGAGTCCGATAAGCTCAAAGTACTCACTGATCGTTTGGATAAAATCAACCTGCAAAGTGGACCTACCTTACTTTTCACAGCCTCGACCAAGGAACGCACTGATGCTATGGAACTTCTAGCTCAATCGTTTGAAGAAACACAGCAGATTCGAAGTGATTACATCGATATGATAACACGAGTTGAAGTGCTTTCCAATCGTTGTTTTAATCGAGATGCCTTTAGAATGCGATTGAAGCGGAGAAAACTGCTGAGAGATCAAATGGCTGAGGAGGTGGTGCAGGAGCAACAGGTGGGTGTGGAGGATAAATCGAAGGAGCACTCAGACAGTCTTTCTAAGCACTGTGCCAATCTGAGTTTCCAACTAGCCTCCGTGGACACATTGATAAAACGGTGCGCCGAGGGTATAGGCAAACGCATGATGAAGGTGCAGGCTGACTCCGCTAACGCCTGGTCAAGTGAATTCAATGCTCTCTCTGAGGGGATAGAAAAATTGAAGAGCTTTGTGGAGCTTCCACTTCTTCTTAAAGCTGAACGTCATGAAGCTGTACCTACCTTCTTTGCTGAGCGGAGGCTTGATATTCAGGTTTGTTTTTGTTCTCTCAAGACAGTGATAGGCCAGTCCTATCACGTGTTTCGGTTTCGATACTAACGTATTTGTTCTCTTCCTCACTTCTTACCAGGAATCCCAGAATCGCATCAACAACCTGGAATCCGAGTTGTCGTGTACCGTCAGTCTCCACAGAGTCATTCAACGCTCGTCTCACTACGACCACGGCCCCATGGCTTCCAGCATAGGTGATGAGGTTTACACTAGAAAGAACAGGGCTATGCTTGCAGCGCTGAGGCAGAACCTCATCGAATACGCCATTCACGTCGGCGAAATGGAGTCGCTTCTGGTGGAGGCTTTTACATCCACATCACGCTTGAAAGCTGCTTTAGCGGAGATGGATAGGCGTTTGTCAGTAGCTCTCACCGCCCTGGAGGATTCATTGGACCTGCATAAATGCGAGATCTCTCTTGCTCAATTTTCTGTATGCATGCTTGACACCGTTTAACCAACTTGAGGGGGGCTTTAAGACCTAGGCCATTAAGCATGAAATATCCAACTGTAGTTTATCTCATGTGTTAAAGTCGTTTCTCTCCTACTTTAGGCTATGAAAAACGATCTGGACCCTATAAAGTCAGAGCTTCGCTCGCTTCAATCACTTTCCGATCATTTCCATACCACAATGACAGTGGCTATATCAAATGGTTCTTCTCTTATATCTGTTCTCGGCGTCAACATTAAAGAAGCGTCGCCAGCTTCACAGGAAAGTGCCTCATACTTCTTTGCCGAAATTGCTAGTTTCGATAAAAAGTTTCACTGGATAGTGGCTATCTTGGACGAAGCCAACGGTCATATTTCAGTGCTGATTAGTGGCTTCAAACAGTACGAATATTGGATCATGGAGACGCGCACCTGGCTTCACCAGTCCGAAATTTCACTCAGATCCAAATTGGAGGGGATTGACGGCTTTCATTCTCTCGATAAGGACGAGGTTGAAATGCACCTCATGCTGATTCAAGTGGGCAAGCAACTAACTTGGCAACTCATATCAGCATGGTTCTGATTTAATTTGCTTTTATTTTTGCTTCAGAATCTTGTTTTGAGTTCCAGCGATGGGAAAAGACTTGTGAACGTCATGGAAGTTGCGACAGCGGACCTCCTGACGGACGCTTTGGAGGTCAATCGTTGGGTGGGAAATGTTTGCCAATCCCCGCATTTTCATTGCATGACCCCTCATTCCGCAGCATCCCTACCCCAATTCCGAGAGGCCCTGATGAACACGAGTCAACAGCTTAAGGAGGATTTGTCGAAGTACCTTAGTCTTTTAAATACGGCGAAGGAACAGGCTGAGGTCAAATTGACCGTGTGTTCAACGTTCTGTGACAACTGCTACCGCTTTATCGAATGGCTTACTGATTGTGAGACTAAGTGGAATATTCCTAGTGTTGGTGAGACTGATAATCCCATCGCTAATAAAGATATGTTTCTTTGGGAGAAGCAGACCTTGGTCGCAACTTATAAAGTAAGTGCTAATGTATGCTCCACTTAATCTGCTTATCGTAAAATTTCAAACCGACTTCTTTTCAGCAAAGACTGACGGATGTACAGGTGCACGAGTCCCTTCTAAAGGAATTGTTTGGGTCGACTGAACTTGACTATGCAACAGATCAATCTCCAATTGATGGTAGCACTCCTGCAACGAATGTTCGCCTTCTTGACGCTCGAAAACGATTTCAATGGCTTCAAAAATGTGTGGTTACTCGTATAGCTTCGATTGAAGACGATGTGAAGAAAACAGGAGAAATGGAAGCGCTGCTGCAAGCCTTCCGACGCTCTGTTGAGAGCATTAATAGGCGCTTTACTACGTTGGAATGGGAGATTGTGGAACTATCTACTTGGGAGAAACTCAAACCTGTCACCTCCGAGCCCATCCTGGAAATGCTGGAAGACGTAATACAGCAGCTTCCCCATAGTCTGCATACACTGACGGAACTTTCACGAGAGCTCGAAGCAGCCAAAGAAACAATGGTTGACACATCCAGCTCTCCCCGCCATGCTGACGAGGCTAAGGAAATGCTTGTAAAACTACGAAATCTGCGGAATTGTACGGAAAAGTACATTAAAACATGCCTCGTTCTCTCAAATTCCTATCGGACTCTGTCTGACGACATGGACAAATTCAAAACACGGATTTCAGAGAAGGCATATATTTCTGAATTGACCTCTCCTGATGTGTGCCGATTGACCAATGAAGAGTGGTTTTCCCTTCGAAACGACGTTCTCGTTGAGCAGTCTGTGCTATGGCAATTTGAAGAGGAGCTTCGAAACGAGAGTTTTGAGAGCAAGTTTAGTGTCACCCAGGCTGCATTTGACGAGTTCCTGGGCGCCATTAACGACGTCGCTCAAACGTCAGCCTCTCAATGTTCCGCCGTTTGCCAATTCAAATCGAAAATGGAGGAATTACAGGAATCGTTCAACAATTGTAAGAAGACCATTGCTGACTATCAACATGGGCTGGAGATGCAATTAAGTAAGGGCGATCTCTACCACGATGAATTGAATTTGTGTCAAGAGCTTCTCAACGAAATTGGGACGAATTTGGGGGAGATATTGAACTCGGCAAGTCTTCGAGGTGACATTAAGACCTGGACGATGGACACACAGGACCTCATTTGCAACGTAACTGCGATCGAGAGACGTCTGTGCGACTTCCAGACTAAAGAACTGGAGAGTTTGATGGCAATTGCTCAGTCTGGAGAGGAATTCCTGCCTCTAGCAGCGCAAGCCACGCAGGATCGCTGGAGTGACCTGGTTAATCGGGCAATGAATGCACGGGGAGCGGCTGAATCAGCACTTAGTGCCGTTCAGGACGCGGCCGACGCATTTCTGAATATGCTTAACTGGATCCGAGAGGCCAAAGACAAGTTGAATGCGATTGTAAACACACCTATCGGTCAGCCGAATAAGTCGCTGACGGAAGCCGATGAATCGCGGTTCATGGCTGACGAATGGAGTGGTTTGGCTGAGGTCAGGTCTTTACGGCTCTCAAAGCTGACGGTAGGACTGCCCTTTATCAAGAGACTGATCTGTTCTCGTTTTGGATTATGTGCTAGATTTTTATTTTGTATGCATTCACATAGGATATGGCATTTTAATTATAAAGAATATTGTTTTGAAAACTTCAATTAGGTCTTTCAGATTGATAATATCATCTGAAGAGGTAGGCAAGGTTGCCAATAGGTAACCATCAGGAAGATACTGTAGCATTACCGTAGCTAATCTGGGGATTAATGAATTGTTTTACACTTTATTAAACTGCGAGCATTTCTGCTTCAGAAACTCCACTCTGAATCAGTGGCCCAAAGGAAGATGGTGCTCTCAACCACCGAAGATTTGGGCAAACTAAAGGGGGCACCTCCATCCAAGGCCGAGGCTTCAGTGATTCGAGATCTGGAGCTGGAACTAGCCGACGCTTATGCCGATTTGATCGATCATTGCCAAACTGCGGTCAACAGTGAACATGAGCTTCTCAGGACTACAAAGGCCGCTCTAGAGGATGCCAACTCGGCCCTTAACGCCACAGAAAAGCTCTCAGATCGTGCCAATAGCCTCCTCTTTCATGATGACCTTGGCGCCTCACTAGACTGGCAGCAGACCTGTTTCAACGACTTCATAAGCATCGAAGTGGCCACTGTTCGCGAGCTGATCGATCGGTCGAAGAAGTGGGTTACTTTGTTGCCACAACCTGATGGTTATCTTGCAGATAATATCAACTTGAGATTGGTGGAAGAGTTGGAGAAGATTGAGTGTAAGGTAACCGAGCGAGTGGAGGTTTTGGGGAAGTATGTACACAGCCTATCCGAAATTTCCCAAAGAATATCCTCTGAAGAGGTCTGGCAATGTGAGTTCAGTGCAGATATGAATCCAGGCCTTAGAAATGCTCCAGATACTTTGGAGAAGAAGCGTGAGATGATACAGTACTTCGAGGTGTGTCCTTGATTAGTGACTTAAAATTTTAAAGGCAACTGACCCACAAAATCGAACTCTTTTGTGTGGTGTTATTTTCAGACCAAACTGACCGAAATCAACTACCACATTGAATCCGTGGGGCGCCTCTCTGATGATTTGGATAGACTGACGACGAACGACGGTGCCCCTTTTGTCACACCACCGGCGCTTGTCTTCCAACTGCAGAATTTGCGTCAAAGTCTGGCACTTCAACGGCAGATCGCCGATGGCCAACGGGCACGCTGGTTTCAAGTGGTAGACCAGCATGTCCACTTTATACGTGACCTCTTTAGTACGCATAGTTGGGTCTTCTCCCTCGCTGCCGAATCCATGAGATGCTGGAGTGTCTTCCAAGACGTCTGCAAGTCGGCGCCACCCAATTTGGAGATGATTTCGTGGACCAGAGAGGCTTCCCTATACACAGTTAAATTCCATGAAATTTCGAGTGAGATCCAAAAACTGAATGGGAGATTCGCCCTCATTTGTGTAGTAGGGAGCGGAGAAGTCAACACAAGGATAGGTCTATGTTTGAGGGATTTGGAGAAGTACTTGAAGGCCACTGAACAATTGGTGGAAAGGCGACAGTCGTTGCTGGACAAAAGCTCCCTTCACGTGGGCGAATTTGTCAGAAACGCCCAGCGGTTTTCACAAGCGGCTGAAGCATTCACTACTAGTTATCATCAGGTTCTAAGTGCTTCTACCGAGCTCACGAACCTCGTGTTACAGACTTTGTTAGAAGATGTTGAAAGGGGTCTATCGCTGGATTTGAATAATTTGCAAAAGGAAAGGGCTGCTGTTCAGGCTCTAGCAGTGGAGGCGTGCAGTGACGAACTGAATCTACCCATTTTAGAACCGCTGGAGGAAGAAGTGAACGAGGGTGTAAAGTGGGAGAAAAAGCCGATTGCGAGACCGACAGATCCACCTGAGAATCGAATGTTGGATGCGGATAAAGTGCTTACTGAACTGAATGAAGTCAAAGCTTCACTAGTTGCATCTATTACCGTAAGTTCAGTACCCGCTGCTTAATACAGCCTGCTTTAAGATCTTTTGGCTTTGCGTTTAAAGTGCTTCTAGCAAGCGTTTTCCTTTGCTTGGCATTTTCTGCAATTCCTCCCATAAAAACTTCATTGTAAGATTGGCTCGATGTGATTTTAGGGCCTCTACAAGGCAGCAGATGCACTCGCAGTTGCTCGAAAGCATCAACGTCAAACGCGAAAATCCTGTCAGGATTGGCTTTTAGAAGCTTCAAAACAGCTGGAAGCTTGCAGGAGTCTCATGCTTGAACAAGCGTCTTCCCACACGGCATCGCTGAGCCAAAAAGTCAACAGTCTTAGAATACAACGGAGGAACTTGGAGGTGAGGTTAATGATCTCAAAGTCTCAGTGTCGAAATTCAACTCAACTATCTTGCTTCTTTACAGGTACTACTGGAGACACACAAAAGAAATAAGGATCGGTTTTCCCTTGCATTAGAATCTGAGGCTGAACTGCTTAACTGTCGCGCAGGACTTTTACAAGGCCTTAAAGATGAATGCAGTAAATGCGAAATAATCTCCAATTTCGCCCTATCTGACGACTGTCTGGAGGCTACCACTCTTAGCCATGGCTGGGAGAATCTGGTGGGTGAAATTCAGGCTCTTCAGAGCTCTATGGCTGATCACTTAGCGAAGTGCGAGGCGGCTTCTGAAGCTGTCGTTTGGATGGTGGAGTGGTTAAGGAGCCTAGAAAAACGCATTCGTGTGGAGGCTGTTCCGTCTATAGACAACCTCAGACTCACTCTCTCCCACCGTGGTCATTGTCTGAGACCCTATCTTGAGGAAGTTGAAGTGATTGAAAAAGTTATGAATGCGCAACAGGACGTCATAAAATCTTGGCAGGTATGACGGCCTCATTATAAGCTCATTGAAATCGGGCAAGTTTTTAATGTCTTTGAGAACAATGTGGTAGTAATACTTACAGATGCAAGATAAGTAGTGTTGGATATCATCATTTAGTAACTTTACATCCTTGTGTTTGTGTAAGCGCAGCAAAAGACTGCTTAGTAAAACTGCCATGACTTTACATCCACCTCAATATGGCTACTAAAATGGTCTTTGGGTGGTCTTTATTCATGCTATTAAGGACTCCTTAACAAGGCTCCAAACAGTAAATCAGAACTAGAAGGTCAAGATATTTGAATACCACAATCATGCGACTTTTGAAGGCTTCATCAGACTCTGCGGCTACTCCGACAATTTAGGCCCTAAGGGGAGTAGTGACATGAATGACACTGCCCATCACTTGCCTTGGTGAAAATCTACACTTGCTGAAAACTTTTGCCAATTGTGAAATTATTAGCAGTTGGAAATATTTTGTGCTAACACAGGGGTCAAACAAATCCGATCTTGTTTTTCTGTGAATGTTTGCTTCATTCTTATTGTCAGAAGTTGAATGAGGAAATCCACTGCAAGATCCCTGAGTTTAATGAGTCGGAGCGAAAGATCTCTGCTTTTCAATCGGAGGCTGACTCGGTTGCACAAAATTTCCGGCCCCGTCTTGATGCTTCCATTGAAACTGCAAAGGTAATTATGGCCTCCATTTGAGACGGCGCTTGACCATTCTGTTCTATAAACCACTATTTATTAGCATAGTCCCCTTGCTTGCATCAGACTGATTGGCAGTTCTGCCCATTTATCGCATTTTCATAGAGGTGAGGTTGCATATTCCAGAGATGGTGGATGAAATATTAACAAGTGGACAGCATTTTCAAGAAGATTAAGCCCGAAATATAATTTGCAGAAAAACGTTTCCTTATTCATATTTCCTGTTTTAAGTGAGGATGTAGGGTACAATGAATGCATTTGTAGAGTAACCTTCCGCGATATATTGAATGGAACAGGGAATAAATGTTACTGGGATATTTTAGAATTCTCTCCAACGAAATACCCAAGGACTAGATTCCCTTAACCAAGTCTATCAGAATCTCATTTCATACAACAAATGGATCCTCGCAATCCAGCAACACGCTTCCACCAAGAACACTTCAATCCCTGCACTCCTTGGTCAGGAGGCCGAAATCACGCTAGAGGAGGGTCAGGAGCATGTCTCCTCTCTCATCAGTGCAGTAGAGCATTTCTCAACTGAATGCCAATGGGCTGGGGACAACCTCTGTCCCCTATCTGCTGCTCGCCTCCTCTCCGCTGATCTGCTTTCCCACCTCAAAGTTGTCTGGCAGTCTGCCCGGATAGAGATACAGACGCTGCGACAGAAACACCAGAGCGACGCCGAGGCACTGACTGACTTCTTTTCCCGTTTAACAGTTCTCGCTGTGTGGTTGGGCGAAAAACGAGATCTGTTTAAGGGTATTCGAGGGGAAGTAAACAACTTCTGCAGCCCTTCGGTTGGCACTTACACTGAAGAGTTGAACAAACAGGCTGCCAAGCTGCCTCCAGCAGGGGCTGCTGTTGAGACAATAGCCCTATGCCTCAAAAAGAAGGAAAAACTAGTGTCAGATATCTCAACCCTCCTCAAACATTTAAACGTGAGTTGCCCTTCATAATCTGCGTCTAACCTCATTGATGCTTTGTAATTGTAGGTAAAGAATTGTGATTTCGACTTTCTGCGGGAGAGGCTTCAAGAACTCACTATACTTGGGATCGAAGGCATTTCGCAGGCAACTTCAGACACCGATGAGCTAATGGAAGGATACTCGGATTTACGAACAAGAGTGAGCCAGCTATCTGAACAATCGAAGGAAATGTTGTCCCTGCATCAGAATCTGATGGCGATTTTAAGTGCGGTCCAAACATGGCATGATGAACTTAGACGATCTATCCTGAGTTCGTCTGGTTTCTTTGGTGATCGCTACGCACTGGTGACTAGACTGGATTGGCTAAAGGCAGGTTATACTTAATGAAACGGGATTCTAATCTGTTTCCTTTGAAGAGAACTGAATCACTTTTCTAGTGATAATTTGCTCCGCCTTGTATCAACTTTCAAATGCCCTTAGAATATAGTTTATTTTCGAGCGCAAGGTGACCTAGCTGCACAACATCAGGCTTATCTGTTTTCACAGACCGGTTGAAGATCTGCTTTAGGTCCCGTTTTTGTTGCTGCAGCTGACGTCTAATGCACTCTCTGCACGAGAGAATGCTGTTACTTGTCAGTCTAATCTCTGCATTTCCCACTCTTCTTCAAGCGATCGGTAGCCTCCGATACCACTTGTTGCTATCCTTCCTCTCACCTCTCCTACTTTTTAAATGCCCCTCGCACCAGGCTCTAAGTGTAACTTCTAATGATTCTGCATACCTACATCCATCAAAATATCTCTTATTTTTTCAAACTCTGTGTTATCCCCAATCTCAAGCCTAGCGCAATGTAAATCAATTTTCATTGGAAGTCCACCCTGGCATTTCTGTATCACTACTGTATATGGCTCATAATGAAACGCCTGAAACGATTTTTACGGTTCATAGCATTGACAAAACTGTCATATTTTTGAGACATATCAGGGAATCGTTGCTCAGGGTGTGGAAGTTTCCCTCCTGCGTACCAACCCTCAACTAGCACATTTATGCCTTAGGATAAAGGTGACAACGAAGCCGTAAAACTTTCTTTTGCTAATCTCTTTTAAGAAATGCTTGGTAAGTTACCGATTTTGTTGTCTGTTGTTTGTGCTGTCATTTATGTGGTTGCTATGGCATGCATTTGTAGCAAGTTTCGCACCCGAGGAAAGACTTCACGAGGTTAAAGTGGAGGAACTTTACCTCGATGCAACGCCAACTCTCGTTGTTTCGAGGCCGTGTTTAAGATCAGCGGACATTTTAAAGAGTACATTTTACCTTTGTTTGGCTGACATAGGCTCCCGCTACATTTCTACAAGCATCTTAGTGCTTGGCCATAGAAGGATTTGACGAGATGGCACTGCTTCTTTTCGTCATCAGCCGAAAGCGAAAAGTTGCAATGGTGCTCAACGTGGGCTAACTTTTCAAAGTTCCAAATGTCCATGAACGATTGCATTGTGTTCATCCCGCCGACAGAACAATTTGTCTCTTTTGCAATTCGATCGCATCGGTTAGGTGGTTCCCGCGCTGACTTTGTGATCACGAGAAGGAATCACCTCGGCTTAACGGCCAATTGGATACCCGAGGATCTTTTGCCTTCGCTCACAAGAAACACTCCCGCTAAGCGTTGTCTTATGGATAAACTAGCACTGCTACCTGCCTTTTTTATTAATTGTGCCTGGATCGGCCCTTAGCGTGCATGTCGGTCATTGGTAATGGGGCACCCTACTACGTGTGGTACCGGCAACTCCCGCCAGCCAGTTTAGTTTAAGTTAGCGATTTAACTGGGTATATGACATTCAGTAATCGAGTAGAATTTTACTTAAGGACAGTACTCGGGCCGATTCTTTAAGAATGATCCATTAACTCAGACTTCACGATTAACTGACCAACCTTATCGCTTTCACAGGCGCCTGATTTGAGCAATGATTTGAATGTGAAGTTTTGATCAATTCTTTTTGGTGATATGCTTGTCTTTCTTACTTCTGCCAGAATATTGAGACGGTCCATCAGAAGGGCGATAAAAGATGTGCTGATCTGAAGGAGGCCTGTGTTCGTTGCTTAGCCACCTCCCCTTCGGATCTCGCCCCAGCCTTGCTGGCAGCCACGAATAACCAGCTAACTGAGTTTCCCAATCTCTGCGAAAAAATTGTCACCACACACTCCCTCTACACCTCCATTCTCACGGTCTGGGAAAAATTAGACATGGCAGCAGCTGAGTTTGACGCAAGCTCTCAACGCTTTCAGGAGTCCCTCGCAAACTACGAAGTGCCTTACTGTGAAAATCCATCAAACTTCCAAGCCAAGGTAGACATGCTTTCTTCCACACTTGATGTGCTTAACGGAATGAAGGACATGGATTCCAGTGCATCAGGACTCTGGTTAGAGGCTTTAACGCTCAGGAACAAGTTTTCACAACTCGCTGAGTACTCTACACAACTCAAATCCATCCTCACAGAGATTCCAACTAAAGAAGATCCAAGTTTAGCCTCTACGATTGCTCAGCGGTCCAACGAGCTAAAAAGTCTCATCAAAACCTTACAGCAGATAATTGCTACATGGCAGAGGATGTCCGATCACCTTAGTGAGATTTTAAGGGAAAGTGAAGAGTTGGGAAAGGAAGCCGACGAGTTCGCGAAGGAGGTAGAAGACCTTGTTAAGGGGGAAGGGTTTTGCACTTCAGTTATTGCTGTGAACGATTTGATTGAAAGATGTGAATTGTGTATGGAGAGGCATGGCAACTTTACCGACGCTTTGAAGATGATGAAAGGGAAGCTTTCTTCACTGACACCTCACACAAACAATTCAACTATTCTTGAGTTGCAAGGAGCTCTCACAAATCACCTAACTCAACATACTTCCAATCAACAATTGGGCAGGTCTCTAATCAAGCGACTGAAAGAGAGACTCGACACTGATGCCAAGGTGAAAGCTGATTTGGGTCGTTACAATGCTGCACTTTCCGAAGCTGAGTTGACCCTCGTAAAGTTGACTACCTTTGGTCGTCTCATACCAAACATATCGTTACCGAAACCCCTCTCCCTCTCAACTATACCAAATTCGGAGACGAATTTCAATTTTGTCAAGTTTTCAAATGCAGTACAGGAGTACATGATTCAGCAGAAGCAGTCTGTTGCCAGGCATAATGAACAGCTATCTAGACTCCAGGAGGAATTAGCTGGACAACAGAAGGAGATTTATGACTTAATTAACCAAAATATGCTTGAAGATGATGGATCTATTCTTGCCAAAAATGGTATAAAATGTCGTCTTGAAGAACTTGTGGGGCGAGTAGAACAAGTGAAAAAAGATGACAGTGCTTGTGAGGTCTTCATTCTTGAGAGTAACCTGCAGATAGCCAAAATCATCGACGAACTGGGCTCTTGTGTCGATGTCTTCGTGCATATAGAGGGTGATTCTAGACGGATTCCCGGTGATTTCTTGGCGAATTCCGAGACGATTCTGACGAATTTAAATGCACTGTCAACACGTTTGAATGAAGATGCTCCTCTACTTTCACCAATTAAAAAGATCCACATGCGGCTTCCAACAGACGATCATGAATGGAAAAATTATATGAGCTTGTACGACCTGCTACTAAATGAGTTCGATAATCTTCGGCAACGGGTGGAGCATCTCAAAACTACGGTACGAGATGAAGTTAATGAGTTGACACGAGTAGCTGATCTGCGACGACAATGGGTCGACCTTCACTCAAGGCATGTTGCGAAACTGTCGCAAATTTCAACCTATGTGCAACAGACTCCAGCATCGCTCGATATGACGTCCGAAGAGAAGGTGATTTCCCAACTCAACGCCTATTTGGCATTAGTCAAGTCATCAAAGGTTGATTTGCAAACTGCTGTTGCTGAATACACTCACAAAGCGACCATTCTCTTATCTAGTCTCACCGATACGGTAAAGTCATTTTCCTCGCATCGAAATCAACCGGTAGGAATGTTAGTCGCTTGTATTGAAGGTCAGAAAGGCCATTTCGAGGATGCTGAATGTCAGGCAGAAAGGATGGAAAAGGAGATCACAGAAGAAATAGCCCATTGGGATAAATTTATCACACAGTTAAGGGCATTTCAACAGTGGTTGCTTGCCCGCGATGCAGATCTAGAAGCAACCTCAGCTGCAAAAACCTTTGCAGAACGCACCAATGGACTTCGCAGTCTTGATGAGACTCTACAGAAGAATGGAGGTCCCATGCTTGATAGAATTGTGTCCTGCGGTTGTACGCTTCGATCGCTTCGATCTAACCTAACTGTCATTAATCATGCCACCACATGGATTACTGATCGGCATAATATTCTGTTAAAAGAGGTGTCTGAAAGGCGGAATAGTTTGAAAAATATGATCTTGGCTGAGGAGGAGTTGCACAGAAATGCCAACTGCTGCTCCGATTTGCTGGACATTCAGGAGGCTCAGCTCAGTGAACTCTGTGAAAAACCATTTGCTGCATCTTCGGCTCCCTCCACGATCGATGGTTTTGAAGAAAGGTTGCAGAAATTGCATGAGTATCTGCGCCAATTGGAAGGATCAAAGTCCACCCATTTAGTTCCATTGGATGAGCGCATTCAGTCGGTGAAAAATCAGTTAAAGACGTGCGGTTTAGATCAGGCTGAAGTAAACAATGGAGTGGCAAAGATTTCTGAATTATGGAAACGCTATACCAGACTTCGAGAAAGCTGCATCCGAGTGTCTACTGAACTGGAAAAACTCGTTAAGGGTAGTAAGGCCTTCTACAAACTAACTAGTGAAATGAATTCATGGCTGATAGAGCAAAAAGAGACCTTCGCTGGGTTAGATCGAGGCACACCTATCTTGGACTATCACAACATACATGAGTTGACTGACCAACTTGCGAATCGTGCCAACGCCTTCCATCGCTTCTATATGGAGCTTAATTCAACCGGTGAGCGCCGTCTAGCTGACTGTTCCTCAAGTGCTACAGACATGTTGAACACCGCCAGGTCAATCAACATGCCGATTCTACAAGACGGCTCCTCCAAAGTCCACAGCCAAGAGACTCTCATTGCAGACCTACATAAGTGCTTCCAATCGCTACATACACAGGCCACAAAGCGAAGAGATGAGATCTCCTCTTTGTTGGTTTCTCTCACAACCTATGACGAGTTGTTTATGAGTCTCCACACCTGGGTGTCTTCAGTCACGAAAGAAGTGACCAAAGAGGGAACAGAAGACGCTGCAAAGGAGATGCAACTCTGGTCTACGCCTTCTAGTTATTTGACAATTAGGTCCAGCCATGTTCTTTCCCAGCTTGCCCAAAGTCACGAACGGGCAGAACAGATTGGTGAGAAACAGGCTCATTTGGACATCTTGCTGTCTCGCTCAAGTCGACTTTTGGAAGAATGGGGTTTTTCAGAAGTAACGCGTTTTGCGGCGCAGAAGGCTGGAACTCTCTCACGTCGCTTCGTCGAACTCACGATACAGGTGAAGAAGCAGATCGAGCAGAAATCGATGATTCTGAGAAACATAGAGAGACTTCAAGAAGCACGAGATGCATATAATGTCTGGGAGAAGGATGTCCGAGGGAAATTCGCGCGCGCCTGCCATGAAGACTACTCAACCGAGGTACTGAAGAAAGTGAAGAGAGTGGCCAAGTCATTAGATATGGGTGATGTGCTGCTGGAAGCGTGTCGACAGTGGGCTCTTAGCGTACAGTCAGATGCGTTAGGATCTAAGGCTGCTAATCCCTCTCTGGTGCAAGATCTTATGACCAGTTATGAAACCCTGAAGAGCATGATATCTCAAAAACTTGAAAATATTGAAAAGCACATAGCACAGCAGCGGGCTAAACAGTTAACCATTGCTTCGTTGTCTTCCTGGCTTGAAGCCGCAGAGCAAAGGCTTCAAGCCATCGTTTCTTCCATCTACACACCGCCTCAAATAATTTTAAAAAGCGCTTCCTTTGTCGCTGTTATGGCCTTTTATGAACAATCAGTTGCCAGTGCCTTGTCCGAGCTATGTAGCCTGCAATCCGAGTGCTCAAACAAGGTGGGTTTTGAGGATGATTCTCAACTTTCATCCCGTTTCTACGCCTTTAAAGTGAGGCTGGCACAGTGTGTCGGTGAAGCCGAGGAGAGGGCTAAGAACCTTAATGCTTACGGAGAGGCTAGCGAGCTCGTTTCGATTTGTCAGAAGCTGACGCTGGAGAGGTATGTTCAGATTACTGGTAAAAGTACCACAATCCCAGAGACGGTATCTCAACTCACGGACCCTCCTACTACAGTACTTGAGGCTCTTCTCTCACCCTATGATGCAGAACGTCGTCTTACCGTCCTCCAAGGTGCTTACGATGAACTCGTTATCGACAGTCGTCAACTGCTGGAAACGATGATTGATTCGGCGGATAGATTGGTCTCAACTACCATGGAGCAGGAAGCCTTTCTGGCAGAAGTAATCAGTGAACGGAATGAAGTGCTGAGAGAGGAACAGACAAAACTAGAACAGCTAACAAGGAAATCGATTGAACTACTGAGGGGTATTACTGAATCCTGGAAGGTGTTCACAAGGACGGAGGAGGAGTTGAGTGATTGGTTGATGGCGATGGAACAGGCATCCGCTCGACCGATGATTAAGATAGAAATGTCGGTCGATGAGAGGAGACAAACTCTTGCAGAAATGCAGGTATGTGCACAGTTACCATCTTTTAATTTTAATTCCTTATTTTAAAATATCTCTTTCTGCTTTCTTTTTGGCCTCACGGAATTTTAGTAATAATTTTGGATTTTGATTTTTTGAGTTCAATCTAGGGTACGAATTTCATTTCAGATGTATCAGTCGAGCCTTAGTAGGAAGGCTGAGGTTGTTGAAAGACATTTAAACGAAACCGAACTCATGAATCGTCAAACTCCTCAATTCCAGACAGCTGAGAAGGCTAAACAACTCGCCAACCGTTATTTCGCACTCGTGACCTCTGTCCAGGTGCGTCATTTATAGTCCTCTGCTCCAAATCGGAGTAAAGTTACAACTTTTTTCCTATTTTGTTTTCTTATTTTAGGCACAAATCGACCTTTATAGTAGGGAAGTTGTTGAATTTTCGCGCTTAGAAAATGTACTGGACCAGATGTGTGCCAAGGTTGAAGATTACCGGTCCCTTATTGAAGAATGTTGGATGGAGGGTCGATCCAATAGCCACACAGAACTGATCCGGAAACAAATTATGATTAAGGTTCTTCTTTCACACATCTGTTACTTTTATCAGTTTCGGCCACAGCCCTGTTCAACTCGATTTAACAAACCCAGACCTGACTTAACAGTTGGACCTTGATAAGTAAACGTCCCCTTACAATTAGGTTGTAGCTTTGATCTTTCTTTCTACATTCCGTTAAAGCATGCTGGATTAGTGGGATTAGCACATTGAAATTGTCACTATAGTTACTTTTATAAGTGTTCTGATTTGACATTTATTATGGACGCCTCTTATCACCCATTAGAAAGTGCTGAAGGAGGTGGTGGACCTAAAAAACTCCTCTCAATTGGGAGATTTGTTGAGTCTCACAGAACGTGTGAAGACGTTTGTTTCCGCCACCTTGGGAGATGATATTAGCCGACGGGTTAGCGAGGTATCTGTCTTCTTGGAGGACTCCAACCGTCGGCTGGAACAAGCCTTGACTCTTGTTGCCTCGCGTTTGGAGACTTGGGAGAACTGGTCTTTGCTGGTAAAGAAGCTGGGAGAGGAATTAGAGAAAACTGACTCCTCCTTTAAGCTCGCTTTGAAGGAGGCAAAAATTCCCACTTCCTCCAATCCTGATGATGTGCTCAAAAAGAGACGCGAGGCAATCGATAGACTTCAAGTAGGTCCTATTTCGTGGACTTTTACGTCATACTGTGATTGGCTAATGCCTGTGGTTTTCTCCAACAGGAGCTGCACACATCTCTGGTCTCGAGAAAGCCAGCTTTTAATGAACTTAGACGACTGATGAAAGACACTGATGGTGAAGTGTTGGACCCTCTACTCTACCGTCAATCAAGCGAAGTTTGTTCAAGAGGGAAAACTTTGACATTGGATATTCAGGTACAGCAAGACGACTCGCAATGTCTGTTTTCGAATGTTTCCCTTTGCAATATAGTCGAGAAATCGGAATGGGGGAAACTGAGAAATCGGAATTCTGAAGATGGCATATGATACACACTTGCAGAAATGACCGTACCATGAGTGTACTGCCTAGCTTAATGCCACCGGAGTGGAGGCCTAGCTACGGAAGCTCGAATAAGCTAGATTAATAATTCATACAGAAGAAACAATGATCCCTCTATCGCGGTACGAATAGCCAAAGTGGGCACTTAAGCTATCGTAACAATAACAATGACAGAGAAGGTTGTGGAGCAATGCAATAAGTTCTTGGAGAGGATAGGATAAAAGTGATCCAGCGCTTTTGAAACATAGTAGTCGATTGAGGTTTAAGTTCTAATGAACCCAAGTTGGGGAGTCTGCAAATTTGAATTGTGTGGGACTTGAGCAGCGCTGTTTGCGTAGTACGCGATTAGTTGCTGCCTTGTGGGATGAAATCACAATGTCCCGGATGCATTTGGCACCCTAACCAAGACCATTTGTTTTAAAACAACCTTCAACCTGCTGTATCCAAATAAATACGAGTTAACGACTATGCTTACTGTAATAAACAGAGTAAAGTAACTTGTTGTCCCTCTTTACTCCATCCAGACCCATAGGACCTGCCTAAAGCGCTCCTGGGAAGGCCTGTTTGCCTTTTCCAATAAGGTCAATGCAGCGGATCAATGGCTCTTGACAGCCTTCGTGAAACTTACAGCTCTCAACAACGCCAATCCAGATGGGCCAAAAGCTACAGAATTTTTGATCCGAAGTTGTGAGGTTCTTGTTGCTGAGGTCTCTCACTTCGTGGCCAATCAACTCAAGTCCCTAATTGCTGAAGGCCAGGATATTGTGGTCTCGAAGAAGACTAAGAAGAAGAGGCAAGAGGAGAAGGATAAAACAGAGCCAACAGGACGTGTGGATGCACTCAAACATCTACTCAACCAACTGAAGGCCATGAAGGGTGAGGCAGAAGGCCTTTTTCAGGTCGTTGATGCCATTAAGGTGCGTGAATGTTTCTAACTTATGAAACAAGCGTTTTAGACTCGTTTCTTGTCAAATCCCGCTCGTACTAGATGGCAATGGGGTCTATTTTAAGCGCGGTAATTATACGTCCATTTTCAATCGTCTCAGCTTCTGACTTCTACCTCTTACTTAGGGACCATGCTTCCTTCTCTTCTGTTCTGAGGTTTTTTTTTGTATTTTGTCCGGCCAAATTTGTTGCACTTCTGGGGCCATGTATCACAATTATGAGCCTCAAAAACCTTATTGGTGAATGCAAATGCATAGGACTGTTACACATACAACTGAATTTTGATGAAAGAGGAGTTTGAATCCTATTTATTTATCCGCAAAAGGACATGGTCTAGCGTCTCCTTCTAGCCTGAATCAACCATAACCATGGATATAATCTGAACGAACGCAGAACATCTCGAATTGTTGTACCCCACGAATCCGGATTCTGATGTCAGACAAAGCACTGTTTGAGCTCTTCACTCCTCACTGCGTACTTCTTCCAGGTAGTTTCTCTGCTTTCAGAGATTGTCAGGGTACTTTCAAGTCTTGCTATTCGGTAGTGGACGGCTGTCCGCGCCTCGCCGTTTTTTGCCGTAGCATCGTTCCTCGTCATGGCTGAATAGAAAGCAACTGGGACAGCAAAGCATAAATGCTCACACTTTTAGAATGCTGGAAGGTAATTTCTGCTTGAGGTCGCGGTATAGAGTCCATTTCTGTAGAATTTCCAAAGATGCGATGTACGCCAAAGTGCTCCAGCCGTTTCTTTCACTTAGCGCTGTACCGTGCTTAGAAGTCGGCAAGAGCTTTCAGGTCCTGCTCAGAATTAGAAGTTTGGTGCCAAAATCTTGAGAGAACTTTAGGCCACATGCCAAACTCAAACACTTAGATGGGTCTCCGATCATATCTCGGGGATGGAGAATGTAGGGATGAAGGCTTGCCGTCTGCGTAGCGGCGCCTCGAAACAGACCATGTGGCAAGAGGATGGGAAGGTAGAAGTGAAAGAGTTGGTAAAAGACGTGACCGCCAGAAAAGGATTGATCTGTGTTTTCGACCTTAATACTCTCATATTCATCGCTGCAACACATCGCTCCAGACCACAGAAACAGGATTTGCGAATCGCACTCCACCTCTGCAAATGGGTTGTTCTTTCTGCCATCACCAGCGGACAGCGACAGCTCGGCCATGGGCAGAGATTCGATATCGCGGGGCAAAGAGATGTTAGCGGCGGTGGTGGACGTGAGGCCAGTGAGAAGGAAGAATTGAGAGTGAAGAGCTGGTGGGCCAGGGAGACCCCTGACCTGGAGGCATTAAAGGATGAACCGGAGGAAGGGGAGGGTTATTACCTGGTGACCATTCACGATGTTGCCCTCGGTGATTGGTTTGTCAGCTGCAGCGCATAGATCACTTCTTTCAGCAGCTGTCTCAAATGCGGAGAGAGCCAGATGCACGTTGTTGGTCTTCTGTATCCGAATGATGGCTGGGAATCGCACTAGACTCATGCGACTATCGTTATGGGTGGAAAAAATAGCTGCCGCATCTGGCAACAGGGAATCAACCAATTTTACCAGACGGAGGCCAAAATGTGTCCCCGAATACTGGATCATTGTATCCACTGATAATTCACCGACTTCTGATATCTGGAATACCGATTTGTGCAAGGCAAACTTTTCTGTTGGCGTCTTAGTCTTATTTAGGTAGAATTAAGTGGATACTGCTGATTTTGAGGTAGTGTTTGCATTCACCAAATTGTGGTCGACATCGTGCTTTGCTCCGTCGTCAGTATTTTACCCCACCAGAGTTGCCAAAATGATACTTGCTTTCCGACACTGACAATCGCGTTTTTACCATTAAAGATGAATCTTTTTACAAAGTTGGAGGAATGGGATTCGCTCCTAGTCACAGTTGAAAGCGGTGAGACCTACTTGCAAGTGCACCTAGCGCGCTGGTGGAGCGAACGCGTGGACCGGACAGAAGAAGAGCTTCTCCAGGAGCAGTATTCTATGACCTCATCTTTGCGGCTGAAAATGACTCAACAACCCGAGACCGTCTTGGAGGACATTGTGAACCAGATAAAGGAGATAGAAGTAGGACATCTTAAACACCTTTATTGTAACAGAATTGCCTACAGTGAAGTGATAATTATGAGCAACTATTCATGTCCATCTCAGGTGCCTTTACTTACTATAGCTTAAAACGGATGATTTTGATCTCTAGATGTGATTTGAAAGCCGAAATAGTCTAAAATGACAACGACTAGCGCCGATACCCACTACATATACTGAGCCATTACTTAGCCGTCCCTTGTGCCAAATTTTTTCACGAAATTTATAACTTCTAGAAACGACGGATCCATCTGGAGAACGCCAGCACCAAAGTGGCAGCCCCATGGACTCTGGTGAAAACACCATTTAACATTCAGCGACGCCTGCAGCGTGTTGTCGCAGATGACAGTGATATAACCTCAGGGTTACCGGGTGCGGATGAACCTCAAACCAGTGGCAGTAAATTGCGAACGCGTGTGGAGAACCTTCAAAAGGCCTATGAAAAGGAAGTGGGAAAGGTGATTGCATTAGATACCACTAAGCAGCCACTAATTCTCAGTGCTGTAGCTTACTTCATAATCCAGTACCTATAATATGGTTTTTAGCAGTGGGACAGGCGATTCTTTTACAGCCTATCATTCTTTTCGGAATTACAGATGAAGGTATTTAACGAGAGACTGAACCATTGGAAATCCCTCTGGGATCAGCAGTTGTTATGTGAGGCCGAGATATTGGACTGGATCCAGATGAAGGAGTCCGAAGCCAACAGCCTCTTTGCAGGTCGCGGACTAGACACACTGGATCTAGGCACCTCGGCATTGAAGAAACTCCATAGCGAACTGATTGCTAAACGCGAGGTGATTGACGAAATGGCGGCGTGGCGCCAGGACCTTCTGCGTCTGCCGCAGCAAGAGAATGATCCAATTAACGAGCTGAACTGCAAGATTGACGCTCTAGTGCACCGAATTGGGAAGAAGATTCAAATGCACAAGAACTTTGTTAGTCAGGCACAGGAGGCCTCGCAAGTCAAAGCAGAAGTGCAGAGCGATTTGGAGAGAATGGTCCAACGCCTATCGAGAGTACGTCTGTGCATGCTTTGTTGTTATGCACATCTGTATGAGTGTTGTTTCCTTTCTCTACTGTTGCTTACGTCTACTGTTGGTAAATCAGAAAAGCTACAGCTGCAACCCAGATGCTTTATTTCCCTTATATGACACCACTGCTTGTATTAGCGAATTGGCCGAGCTATGCAATCGGTTCTATTATTTAGGTGTAGGCTGATGCAATGAACTTATGACCTTATGGGAGAAGTGAGTGGGCATGACACAGACCTTATTACCTGTCCTTTGTGATGGTAATTCTATAGGGATACCGGATGAACTTGACGTTTCTGGGGGGATCTAATCTTCAAGAATGTCTTCGTCATTACAATTGACGGCACACTCTTCCAATCAGCATTCAAATTTTGTTGCATGGAGCATAGGATGTAAACGTTTTGGCTGAAGCGCGAGTCACTGCCTTTGTAAAACTGTTCTGTGGTCGACAAATAGCCAACATGTCTTTTATAAGGAAATTTGGGAGTTTCCTGAATCGATGAAGTCTGAAGCAGTTCTAAGTGTCCTCCTCTTGACATTTGTGCATACTCGCTTTATTGTTAGACTCCGAATAATAAGCGTCTTTAAACTCCCCTTCAAATGTGTTAGAAACAGTAGTTGCGTTAGTCTCTGACATCTGCGTCCGTTGTTGTGCAAGTCCTTGACGTTGTTCATAGTTCTCCAAAGTGTCAAAAATGCATGGGCTTCGTTGTTACCTTCCATCCACTTGCGTCTCCCCACAACCACGGCTGTTGGCACTTCAGGGTCACTCGACACTTTACCTCCGCAGTCCTCGTGCTCAAAACTCCCTTCGAACAGCTCAAAGCACCTCCGTAATTCCCCAAAGGAGTCCCTCACCCCTTGTAGTCCAAGTTCCCTCCAGTCCCGTTGCGGGCTCCCTTGAGTGGCTCTGGTACTCCCCCACTAGCGTACTTGAACAAATCTCCAGTCCGGTAAGCCCCGCGCGCACCCTGGTACCAATCTCCACCTCCCCTAGTCCTCCCCGCCTCCCTATCAGACCGCATTGCACAAGTCGTGGAAATCTTCTCGGCCGATCGACTCCTCTGATCAACTTCAAACGTAAAGCTGATCCCCATTCGCATCGCGGTTTTGCCCTCAGTCGGTTCGCTGACATCAAAGTGGGCGATGAATCTCTCTCCCCCACTTTTGCTTCGACCGCCTCCATCACATCACCCCTACCACCTCCCCCTTTGCTTCTTGGCCGATCAATATCCTCCCACCGCCCGGGTGGGTGGCGGGGATGGTGGAGCCTTCAGCCCCACTCCTTCCCTGATTCAGGGTTCTTGAAGAAGAGTAGGGACTCCTCCTCTTGTGCAGACCTTATGCCTAGTAGACAGACAGGGCCAGTACTTCCATCCAGGCCTAGCGCCCTCCGTGCTACCAGTGACATTGCGAGACGACGACGTAGAAAGAAGCTGGAGCAGAAGAGGCAAATAGATGAGGCTGCTAGTAACTGAGTATTTTGTCGCCTTGGCTAGTCTTTCAACGCGCTGGATGGGTTTTATCGGTTCCATCTTGAGTAACTAGGACTTGTTGTGTAAATTGCGGGAAAAATTATTATTATAGGCTATGCCCTTATTAACCCTTGTGTGATACGACTACATTTAATACCTTTACATAAATTTTTGGCTGTCAAATAAAACTAGATTTTATGCTTGTGCGGTTGGCACTTACTTCCAATTAAATGGTGCATCATTTTCCATTCTTCCCCCTCTCCCGGCCAAGGATTAAACTGTTTATCTTCACTTCGGTTTGCATGGGACTGACAACTTGTACTGAGTTCTTGATCCTGATCCATTCTTACAATGATTTTACTAGTCTTATCGAGATTAAAGTTTATTAACTGCATTGTTTCATTCCGGATATTGCTAAGGCGACGAGAGTCCACGTTATTTTTTCTATTGTTCAGGCATGGCGTAGAGACTACTACCGATTGGGAGAATAAACAGGGGCCTTCTTGTTTTGCCTAGGGAAGTGGACCATAAAAGTATCGTTGCCTCAGAGCAACAGACTGTCGTATTATTGGTACGAAAGGTTGTTGGTTCACTAGACGGATATTGTGGACTATCTCAGAGCCATGTTCCCTTATGTTTATCCCAGCTTTGGACCGAGGAATCTAGTGGTTGATCCCATGTTGTTTTAGACGAATTAAAGAGCGGGGAATCCGGAACATCTGCGTAATGCTCAATGCAATGGTTAAATAGAATATGGATGTGCTACAGCAATACACTTATTTGAAAGTTGTTCTGTAACATGACCTTTATGGCCTTGAAACCACTTTGGCAATAAAAATAATAAAGTTTAAGAGCCAGGCTCCTGTCCCGATGTCATTTGCGAGGCCTGTTTTAAGTTAGCTGGGCCCACCGATGAGTAAGAGGGCAAAAAACCGCTAGTGGTATGGTGCCATCTTACTCAGTTCTCGCCTTTAAGTATTAGGGCTGAATGCCAAGACCATTACAGCCACCTCAAGTCCTGTTGTCAGTAGCTGTGTTGATAGGAGCTAGGTCTAGCAACACCTTTATTCTATCGAAACGCGGAATCGAGAATCAAGAGTGGGAATGATCCCGAAGCGTTGGATTCTAGTAGGGACTCGAAACACAGTCATTAGAATCAAAGTGTACAAAAGTCGGTCATGGAGGTACTAAGGCAATCGCCTGCCCTTTCAAAAACCGCCTCGTTGGCGGACCCATCCACCCACCATAGAATCTATGGAAGCCCTATGTGGAAGTAAGTCAGTCTTTAATCCCACTAGGCCCTGACTAATTACAAGTGATTTACTTACTTTACAGCATTCCGAAGAAGATACCAATTCATCGAAACATATGTAAGTGGAATTGCAATTTACTCCACTAACATGAAAAATAGATCGGTATATACTATTGTGTCGTTCTTTAAAACAGTAACCAGGTGACGGGTAAAAGTGCTGCGCTCTCAAGACCACACCATGTTCTCCTCCGGATTCGCCGACTTCCAACCTTCTTCGTACTTGGATTCTGCCTAACATGGCTTGCGTACTTCATCTTCAGACGGTCTCCTCCATGTGGTGCCTCTTTTCAAGCTGACTTTTGCATCCACACGGATTTGACTGCAGGACGGCAGTTCGACATCACCTTCCCCCTTTACCTGTACCCACCTCCAACGTAGACCCTGATTTTTGCTTACCCATCCATTATTTCATGGTATTTTGTAATAAGCCAAAGCTTAGTCATGAAATCGAGACTCTCGAGCCTCCCTTAACAGCTATATGAGATTTTTGCATCTGGAAAGAACTCCACTAAACGTGAGTAGGGGGTGTTAATGAAAATGAAATCGGCAGAATTTTGCGCCATTAAGGTAACGACCGGAAACTACGACGATCAGACAACCCGCCTAGTTAGGTTACAATGCAAATAAGCACCGTCGTCCCCTCATGAGATGTCCGTCATGGTATAGCGTAAAAGTCATGTTGATTTTCCTCCAAGGCGAAAGGGCCTGATTTCAACAGCCTCAGGGCGCCTGCTGGAATTCAACAAATCAAGGCACGTTCTTTTTGTGGGCTGTAGTCCACGGACTAGACTTGTACTGCTTAAGTCAATGCTCTACGGTGAACGCACACCGTGGGTCATTTGCCATGCTCTATTTAAATTAATGCCGGAGTTAGGTGTACAGCATCCGTCTCGCCTTACCGTCCAGTGGTTTTTCAGGACTACATTCAGCCAACGGGAGTGCAAGGAAAAGGGTATTATTTATTCATGTGTTCCATCTAAATTTGTACAAGTGCCCCAGGCGACTCATGCGGCTAAATTATTAATAAAAAGCATCTATCACCGTCAAAAATGAGAGAAGCGATAGAGGTGAAATTATGGGAAACAATAAATAGTTCCCGAAGGTCACAAATTGGTATGCATCCAAGTTTTCGTTTTAAGAAAGGGCAGTTTGAAGTTTGTGTCCGCTGCCACTTGATGCTGTCCACACTAGCCATTTGAGCGGAGTAAACTTCAAAGAACAATATGATCATGGGTCCTGTGGTTCACGAAACTGACGTGAACTAAAGTGAAGCGAGTGAGGTGTTGGTTGATTACAGCTGTAGCTCTCCACTGACAGACTAGGACCCGAAATATAGAAGTCAAGAATAAACTACCTACAAATCTATTCCGCTTACAAAGATTGGGAGGCACGTTCTAAGCCTTATCAGTATCCCAAGTGGGATAAAAACCAGCAGGGATGTGTTCTTTCTCCTTCTCGCTGCGCCCCGGGGTGAGGGCCATGAATTTGAAGCGCTTGCCCATCTGATTCGACCCGATAAGCATCTCTGTTGCCGCAATCAACCTCTTCTTGTCCTCCTCACTAGTAGTCCTTTCAACAAGTACCTACGATGAAGCAGTGTGCTGGTATTACGCATTGTAGTAGTGGGAAGAAAAGTTCTTCTTAAACAGAGCGTTGACTTAACTGTTAGTACAAGAATTGCATCATAGTACTTCCCTTTTTAAATGGCTTGGTGGAAAGTGCATTTATTTATTATCGGTAACCATTGAATTAAGGTGTAACAAGGATATACGATATTATGACGTTCATCTTGAGTGATAACGCCGGTCAAATTAACATTTAGCATTAGTGAAGCGCTTAACCATGAATTAGAGAAAGAGGAAGATAAACGCTGGGAAAAAACTATTTAATCACACTTCAGAAAAAGTACTAACACAAGGATCGTAATTTTATACAGGAAACTGAATCTTACTGGGAATATAAGCAATGATTGACATCTGACTAATCACAAAGCTATTTCATAGTAAAAGCGGATGGATTTATTTGAAGAAAAAGCAAAAACTAGAAGTGGACGGGTGACAAAGTAGATCGAGTAGAAAATGGACCCAGATCATAAAAAAGTCGATTTTGACCTACGAATTTATTTGAAAAGGAGCTAACTGCAGACGAATACTGACCTTGAGTCGTAAGAGAATGCCCATATGTACAAGGAAGTAAGCCTGACTCACAGGCCCATGAAAAATGACTAACAAGAGAATAAAAGTGTTTCAGAGGTAGATTAGAGGACTATTAAACAATAAATTACTAGTTCAGGCTCACCCGGTTCTTTTATAGCTTCAACAGATCGTCGCAGAAATGCAAAATCGACGTCCGCAGTGATATCCGCCTGACCGGGGTCTTTGAGCGGGTCATGGAGCTTGTGGTCTTTGAACGCCTGAAGATAACTGGAAATAAGGAGTCGTGTGGTAGCAGAAAGGTAACATAGGTAAATTCTGTCTACCAACATACACGTAACGTATCTCCACATTCTCCAAGGTGGCCATAGTCGCTGATTAATGCTGAGCCTCCATCGGTTGCAATGCGAGAAGCGATTTTTTGAAGAATTGCCCCGGCTTCAGGGCAAATCTCAACACAATTTTTATCCGATAGATCGCCAGCAAGCTGCAAGGGGAAGGAGAACGATAGTATGTTAGAAGCTAGCCTACATTAAGAGTATAAAATAATTACAGGTAGATACGTCGAAGCAGCAATTGTGCTGGAAGGTGAAGTGACAAATGCCAATTGATCACCTGATTCAACTGGATTCGACGGACCCATGACACTAACAAAAACTTCCCTCCAATCATTATCAACTTGCTGTTAATAATACAAATCACATATTCGGGACCAAACCTGGAACCGATGGATGGGTAGTGCGTCAAAAAACTCATTTGCCAGATAAAAAGTGACACACCCTCCAGGTATTTCATCTAGAGAGGAGTGCCATGAAAGTTCAGGTTTGATACAATAGGTTTTGAGAATAGGAGATATGACGGATTTTTGCAATTCGCGTAAGCGGTCGCTACGTTCAACGAAATACAGATGGCGGAAAAGTGAACTTCCAGTGGGAAATTTGCAAAGCGCCTGTACACTAAATAAGACCCCCACAAACAGCATCTTACTTTAATGACAGTAGCCATTAAAGTTCCGCGACCAGGACCTAACTCCACAATATCAAAGGGTGCGTTTTTGCTATACTTCATCCATTCATTAACAATCCAAATCCCGAGGATCTAGTCCATAAGGTGCATTCATACACCTTACCTCACCAAAAATCTGACTTATTTCGGGTGAGGTGATGAAATCACCATCAGGCCCCAAAACAGAAAAATTAGTGTAATACCCCTAAAAAATTCATGGGCGTTTAATAAAAGACTTCACAAACATGAACGGGATGGTGCATGGCGATTTTCATATATTCTGCAACAGATATTGGACCAGCTGATCGAATTTGACGGCAAAGAATTGCATTTAAGTCCTCCTTCAGGGGTGGTTTCATACAAAAACAACGTATTGCGAGATGTGAAGAATGACGAATAGCACGCATCCAGCTCGGCATTCCAACAAACTGGGAACGGCCACCTCTTCGTTCCAAGGTTAGCAGAAAAATTATGAGCAATAACATCATTTCAAGTAAGAACACTAGTACAAGTAACGGCATTCATTAAACCCAGCAAAAATGCAAATGTGCGAATTTTCTGTTAAATAAAAAAATCCACAAAAATGTGTGTACTTAGTGATTAAAAATTTGTCAAAGGGAGCAGCAATAACCACTTAGAGTTCCTTAGGTTATTAAATTTTTACGCTTGGAATAAGAAAGGAAATACAGGGAGTAATCCGGTTAAGAATCATCCAAATGGCAACCATGGCTAGCCCTGGAAGCAAGGGGATGATCAGAGAATTGTTATAATATATAGGCAAAAAGGGAAAAACTAGATGTCTGAAGGTTCATTGAAATTTAATCGGAACATTCCATTTATTGATAAATGATTAGGTCTGTTTAACAGACCTGTTTAATTAGAGCCAAACCAAATTCTTGTAAATAGCGATTACTTTATGCCCGCACGGGAAGAAAGAAACGGAGGTAAGAACAAAAGGTTTTTACCCATAATTTAGACAAAACAAATTTGTTAAATGTAGTGCCATGTCATTTTATCGGTTGTGACCCCAAAGAAATATTTGAAATTTTCATTTTTGACCTGTTTACTATTATTGTCCCCCTCAAAACATCGTAAATCCTATTTTTTAAATATTTTTCTTAGTATATTTTTTGTTCTATATATTGACTGTTTGTTTGCTTAAAGCTGTTATTTGCCCAATTGATAGATTTGAATGTATCAAATGAATACACTGGTTGCGCTCCCAAAAGAAACACGGGTGCGTTTGTGTATCAGATAATCGTATTGTGTGTGTTTTTGCTTCCATTTCGTTACATTGCAATTAATTTGTTCGGCTGTCAAGCTACTTAGATTGGTTATAATATTTCTGTTTGGTGTGCATCTGGATAACTGGTTCTAGGCGGCAATACTCTTTCGAGGGCTTGTCACCCATGTAGTATATTTGGTCCCTGCCTACCACTTTGTCTTGTGTTTTATCTTCGCCAGCATTTTTTCGTCCTTATTTGGTATTCATTTTAATGATGTGGAAATATATCACACTTAGCGCAGCTTTGACTGAGATTCTCAATTATCTGTATGATTGCCTTACAATCGAGTCAAAGAATAATCCATTATTTGGAGGTAGAATTGTCTCAGGCTACTTTAACTTTTATGGTTAAGTTAAGTCCTGATTTGGCAGTATTCTAACAGGGGTAAAGTGTGTTGAGTATTCACCTCATCCTTTGAGTTATGCGACATTCTGGTGCCCTTCACCCTCTAATTGGTACCTATCTTTACTGAATTAAATGTCACTTATTTTACCTTGGGCTTGTTTTTTTCCTATTCAATGCTTGCCTTTCATTTGTAATACATAAGTGTCCGTTTTTGTTCCTGTTTCGCCTTCTTGCTTGCTTTTCTGTTTCGCTAATTCCTAAATCGAAAACTTGTCTCGAAAAATAGTTAAAATATTTTCTTGAGCCACTAATATTTTGGATTCTGCCTTTATAGATTTAAGTTAAGTTTTAGGTTTGAGCATCTATAATTGGTGTTCTACGAATAGGGTTTTTTGTCATTATCTTTCTTATCCGAGTTTATATAATCCACATTTTATCCACGTTAAAGTGATGATAATTTTCCATGTTTCGTAATGAATGAATCTTGCTTACTAATGTAGTAGTGGTGTTTACTCCTCTTCCTTTATTGCGTTTTTCAGTTATTTGATTCACTGTCCTGACCTTGGAACGGAGATTGTGGGATAAAAAATAGTTGTTGGGGGATAATTATATTTTTCAGCTCGCTTGTATCCTTCAGACGTTTACCCACAATGAGTAGTATTAACGGAGGGAGTACGTTACGTCGTATGGCAACCAAATCGGGATGTAAGTGATTATTTCGATGCCCTTTTTTCCTTTACAAATTCATATGCATGAAACCATTTCAAGCTAATGTTCATTAAAGCTTCTGGTGCAATTGACGAGGAAGGATTCAGGCATGCATTCTCAACAGTTTCCTCCTTACCGGTATGTCACAATCGCATTACCTCTCTCATACCCACGTGTAGATCTACTCCTCACGGGATCTTTCCGAATATATGACAAAGATAAAAGAGTCCCTTTGTGTCAACCCCGAGGACTGGGAGCGTCGTGCAAATGCGGTAGGTGTTGCACTTTAGTGCGCTAATACGCCTCCTTCTGCGGACATATAACCCAGTGTTACCTTTTTATTTACCTTTTACAGTTGAAAGACCTCCGCAATGTTGTTGGCAGTGGAGGCCATCAGATGGATGAATTTCCAGCCCTTCTTCGAACACTGGAGACGCCTGTCCTGGGATGTCTTCAGGATCTTCGATCCCAAGTAGTGCGAGAGGCGTCTGTTACTGTGGCGTATGTCTATCTACTTGTACCAAACCATTTGTTGATCTCATCGAATTATGACCTTACTAAAGAACTAGCTATAATTGATGACTGGAACAGTTTTACCGATAGCCTCATTTTAGTTCCAACTAACAAAGATCGACAATATGCTTATTAGCCCTGTATTTTTCTTTCATTACAGATATTTGTCCCAAGAAACCGGTAGCAAATTCGATCATTTTGCGGAGATAATTATGCAAACTCTCCTCAATTTGATACCGAACAGTGCTAAAATTATGTCAACCAGTGCCATAACCGCAATTGGTTTTATTATCCGTGTATGTTTTACTAAGATTTGGTTTTTCATCGTAAATGCACTTTGATTTGCTGGTAATGGGCAACTTTTGCCCAGAACTATAATTTGTTCGCTTTTTTGTCATAAATTTGGTTCGATGCACACACAATTTACCTAAATTCCATAACTCTTTCATCAACATACTGGAAGAATGTTCTGCTTTGGCCCCGAAACTACTGAAACGAAAGATCACGCAATATTTCGCATTGCAAATATTTTACGCGTTTCCCGAACCGTTTGTGTCCTTTTTCTCAAACCCACTAAATAAATTAACCACTTCTACTCCTAGAACACCTTTGCTTCGCGACTTTTCCCCATCATTGCCGGTGGTTTATCGTCCAAATCCAGTGTTTTGCGAAAGTACGTTCTGTTTGTTGTCATTTTATTGCTCAAGTGTGTCACTTACTCTAAGACCCCTTGTGGAGGCATTTCACATTAGCCTATTCTTAGTGAGTCACTGTGATGAGCAAAAATTGCACAGGGAGCTGTAGTGGCCGCAAAAATTCCCTTTAAGGTTGACGAAATATGAATCTGGGCTCGTGCTTTCCGGATTTACTGATTCTTTCGAAACATAGAATCGGTATATGCTTATTCGTACAAAAACAAGTTTACTCACCAGCAAAATGGTATTTAATTCTGAGCTTAAGTAACACCTTTTGTGACACCAGTTTTGGCACCTCTTTTCAGGCGCTCGCTAAAACATGGTTTTACTTGATTGACCTTTTCACAAACTATCTGTTCACGTGTTCGAATGAACTTACTGTCATCTACGGAACTTTCTCATTGGTCGCATCCATTAGGTGTTTTATATTTTATCAAACCATTTTGTACACCTACCCGAACTCAGAATACGCTCATTCATTCAGCTTATTTTTCGTTTATTCTCATTCTATTCTCACTTAAGTGCCTTTCTATGAGGCGTATTTTGAGAGCATGAATCGCTACGATGTCCAAATTCACTATCTCGAAATCAGTGCAACTCTCATCATTCCTGCGAGCTTCTACGGTGCCCGCCTTGGGTTTTATTGTCAATGTGCTTTTGCACATTTCTGTCGAAGCAATCGAGATGTGGTAATGCAAAAGCTTTGATGAAACATGTTCTGACATCCCAATCGCTTGGTGTACCTGTAGTATCCGTTTGGTCTCTAACGTGGACACCACGGAATGGGAAATGTGTGCCTTAGAAAGTAATGGTTCCAGATTAGTATTCGCTCCAAAGTGGTGCTTCTCGCTGTGTGCTCTTTTGTGCTTGCTTACTAAATAGTCTCGGATATTCTCCGTCCACTTTATCGTTCTTGCGATTGCTAATAATTATGTTTCATGTATTTCTCATCGGAAAAGAAGTGCTTTTTAATGACTTTACAAGGTGTAAAGGTTTACAATTTTGTGTAAGATATGATTTAAGATTTTATTATCATTTCGTGGTTGATTATCTCTATTTTCCACGTTGCTCTTTACCTTTTTTGAGAAGACTTTGCTCGTTCCTTTTTTGCTCATTAAAATGAACCCTATACCATTTTCCGCCTACCAGCATACCCTAAAATTAAATCATTCGTTTTGTGCACTTCCGTTCTTCATTTCTGCCGATGTGAAATTAAACTAGATTTTCATGTGGTCGATTACAACTTCATTGTTTCGCGTGCAAACGCGTTGATAGTCTTTTAAAAACATTTTGCTTACCTTTGAGTATTTTGAGCAATCATCTTCAAAGGTGTCCACCTTTGTCATTCCACGAATCGTCTGGATTTTCCACTTTCTATTCACAGTAGTTATCTTGACTTTGGAAAGGAAGCGTTCGTTTTCATGGCTTCATTGCCTTTTAAAAATGATCTATTATTAATTGTGAATTGAACATCAATCTGGTTTAAGAGCCACGAATCAAGTCGTACATTTTCCCTGATAGCTTGACTTTAAACCGTTTGTTCTTGTGCGGCTCCTTTTTCGGTCTTATCGTATTGTTCCGAACTTTTGAAAACCCAATAGAAATAGGTAAATCACAATTTCTATTTTCAAAGCTACTATGCCGAAGTTTGAGGTCCACATTAATTCATATTATGCCGATTTAGAAAACAAAACAAGTGTCAAATTTCTTTTTAACGCGTTAACCATTATTTGCGATTTTAAATTGTTTTTTCATTATAACAAACTTTAAGACGCGATAGTTTTGCAGGTGTGTAAATATGGGCTTCGACTTCATCAAACAACTGGATTGTTTGTGACCCCAATTAACACTCGACTGCCACTAGAAATGGATGCATTGTGTGCCATTTCGTGAAGTGGATGTGTCCAATAGGGAGGCGAAACATCATGTGACAAGGGAAGGCTCACTTTGATGGCCTGAAACTCAGCCCGTTTACCGTAAAATTATTATTGAGCGCCATTGTATCATGCGTGTCATAGCTACGTGGACATGGCCCTGGCCATTGGTGGGTCTTCAGTGTGCTTGCGGTCGCTTGGACACATGGATGTTTTGTCCCACGGCGCTATTTACCTACAGGCGCAAGGACCGTATGTCCGTTTTTGTACTCACCGATATAATCATGAGAATTGGCTCTATTTGCGGTTCTGCTGTACGCGTATTTGGACGTTCATAAAATGACTTCAGGATCTTTGAAAAAATCGACCACCTCAACACCAACACTTGTGCTACCGAATAGTTTAATTTAATTGCTAATAAAAAATGCATCCATTCGCGGAACAGGAACATCCTACATCAGTTTTGTTGTTTTCAGTTCGATCGGTCAGGTTTTAACAATTTTGTGCAACCATTCATCTTGCATGAACTGACAGCAAATGGCAAGCATTTGTGATGACGGGCTCAAGTAAGATAATTTAGACATAGGATACTATTGACGCTGGTAACGAATGCATTAAGCCGAAATAAGATCAGGCTCTGCCTCTATTTTCCCACGAATTCCTGCTTGACTTATTGCTACCTTATTTGCCTTGTGTAGTGAATCAAGGTGCATTCCTGTGACCACTTGAAGATTCGCTTATTTACCATCTTATCGTCATTTTTGAAGCGAAAGGTTATGCTGCTCAACTAGTCGCTGAGCTGTTGAAGTTGCCAGTAATAATTTGTCTACTCTATCCCTGCGGTGTGCTGGAAATGCGAAAATTTGCATCTAGTTTTCAGAAGACGCGCTACCTTATGATTTTCCGCAATTTCGTCTGAATGTATTCTTTCCTGTCGTCGCATATAGGTAACGGTTAACTTTTTTCCCCGGCACTTTTTATCGACATAAATAAGCAGTTCGCATATTCACTTAAAAGGCGATTCAAATTACAAGGATTCGTTTGCTGGTATGCCTTTATTTGTTTCGGCCTCATTCAGTTGCCTCCATGATTTCCATCATGCATGAATCGTGGATTTGATTTTGATTTTACGATCCTCGAAGGCAAGTGAAGTAATGGTACTGACCTCAACTTTTTGTTTTTCTAGTTCACAAAATTATGATGATTTTCCATTGACTAAGCACCGATCCACTCTCTTGCCTTCTCCCTTGATCTTTTTCTTTTCGTTGACCCCATTGTTGCGCAATTTCACTGGCGTACTAGTCTGTGGGAATTGAAGATCTTTGCAACAATTATACCACCACAAAATTGAGCATCGGATCATCTCCAAGTGCTAATGTTATGCAAGGAAACAATGGGGCAATTACTTAATTAATCCACCTTTTATCGTTTGCTTTCTCCAGGTACGTTTGTATCTTCCTCGATCCCATCTTTCAATGCTGGCCTGTGCATGTGCTGGAGAGGCACATGGCCCTTATTCAGGAAGTGCTATGCAAGGGCGTTTCTGATGCTGATCAGGATGCCCGATCTGCAACAAGAAAGTGAGTCTCCCATCGCCTCAACACTGCTTGTTCTTGCCTTGCTTATTATTTGTGAATTTTTTTGGAGAATTTTAATTCCTTATGTCGGTCAAAAGTAGGCCATTCTCTGTATTGTTGCACCATATTTTCTGTTGATTCATACAGCAGTTGTTGTCCACATAATAACCAATTGCATTTTGCCAGACTTTATGATGAACACGAAACCTACTCGAAAGCTTAAAATTGGAGCAATCTGTTTCAAGTGTAGTGTCTAACTGGTACGCTAATTTTTTGATCTGAATAGGTTTTCTTATTGAGTTGTCCCCCAGATGCCATCTATGTATCACTCGCTTCCTCACTAATTGATAAATGACTTACCTCCACTCCCTTTTCTCGCAGCGAGGAAGTGAGGTCACTCGAGAGTCAATCTTAGTAAAAGGAGCTTTGGTCGTTTTTATCTAACCTTTTTCTCCCCATGCATGAACGACGTTAGGCAAACACGCGTTCAGTTATTGGATCTCCTAACAGCATTGCGCAATTACTAATGCATCATGGCGTCAACCTCTTCGAGGTTTTGCAATTCACTAACTCACGCTGTTATCTTAAAGTGAATTTAGTGGGGGATGCAAAAATGCCTCTCGTCATTTGTTGAATCGCTTCAAGGCAGGCTTGCTTGCATGCCGCCCGTGTGATTGGTTCGCTCGGTAGCAGGGCGCACTTTAAATCCAGCAGTAACTGTGGTTGGGCGCGCGAGCCTGGCACAATGCCTCACGCCACACCGCCAGCCCGTGCGCGCGTTTTCACGGCGTGGGCCTTAGCTTCGCCAGTGTAGAACTCCTAGGGAGCGGGAGATTTATTTCTTCCATGTTCCAACTAACGACTGTGAGTCCATTAGCTTACTTCGTTATCCACTTTGTTCGTGTAATCCCACCTTGATTTGGGCGTTTAAAGCAGGTTCCAACTTTTCATGCAGTATATCTTTTCACGGAGGCCGTCAACCGGGCTTTTATGAGCCCTCCTTTGACCTGTTACATGTTGGGAGCTAAAATTGGGTAAAAGTCTTCGTTTCAAATGCATTGCCACCTGTTCGGTAGAAGTCCGAGTCTTCTCACAGTGTTCATTTCTACGAACCACCATGATCATTAGGTGTTAAAAAGATCTCAGCTTGCTCTGCGTATTTAACATTGTCTACCAATCCAGATGGTTTATTCTTCTGTTGTAACATTGTCCTTTCGTTTTTTTAAATTAAATGTGTTACGTATTTGTGGCTTGCGGGCCAGGACGGAAATACCGGGTTGTGTGTAACACTAGCAGCGATTGTGACTCTTTTCGAGTGCCTTTCCGTTTTTTTTATTAGCAAAAACCTATGGCTTTTGAGTGGAATATTTACATGGTCAAATTCTCATCGCCATCTCAATCCATTCCAATCAGACTTGTGTTGGACATTCATTGTTTTCCTATAGCCTGTCTTGAACACGCTTTCATCTGTGCGCTTGCTTCAAACATTGTCCATTTCCTGAGATACTAACCCTGAAATCGAATTCACTAATGTCTAGTTATAAGTTTTTGACGCTCTTGCTTCCTTCACTCTTGGTCTTTATCTTGTCATTTCGGCTCAGGCAAGCTTAGCTGGGCGTGGTTTATTGAAGACTATTCCTGTGTATTTTTTTGGTTGCAGCATCAAAATAGTTATGCTGTTTCACTTCCCTTTCAATGGCATAGGAGTAACCTCATGCGCTAATTCATAATGGAAAATGGGTTAGCCTTTCCTTTCATAGTTCCGAGAAGAACAGGAAAAATATGTTTTGGCTCTGTATTACCAAATCTGTACTACATCGAGTTGTGGATTTAAATTCTTGTATTGGTAAAGTCTTTGAGTGAAAGAAGCAAGCCAGCATATGTTTATTCACTTTTCCTCCCTCTGGGTAGGGCCTTCAAGTCCTTCGCGGAAAAGTTTCCCGATCAAGTGGAGACCGTGCTGCGAAATTTAGACTTCGCCAAGCGGAAAGCGATAGAGCGCTCACTCTCCTTAAATGGGGCTGACGATCAGTCGAGCGCGGCCAGTGGGACTAGCAGTCGAACGGCCAGTCAGACAAATTTGGCCTGCCCAAGCGCCAAGCGTACTACCCGACCGGCCATGGGCACCTCTGGTCTCAGCGGCAGCACTCGCAGACCCAACATTCTTGCCACTGGCTCAATGATGTCCGGTCAGCTTATTGTTCAACTTTTTAAACCCTTCCTTGAGTGTCTATTTTGTTTAGTCTTGAGTCGAATTTAGCCGACAAACGCATAATGAAACGCTGCCATTATCATCCATCAACGAAAACTTTTGCTCCTCGGCTAAAAATCTTCTTCGACTGAATCCATTTCGATGTTGATCTTAACATTTATCCCGGTTAGAAGAAGCACATGAGGTACAATTTGTCCTCTTTTATTTCAGAAACAAAGAGACAGTCATTTTTCAAATTAACTCTGGGGTTTTTTATACTAGGTGTCTTGAAAAGATTCTTATAGCGAAACCACTTTTCTTATCGCTAAGTTTGTTTCTCTAAAGAAGAATGAGTTGTTATATGGCACCTTAATACAGACCTTCATCTGACTGTGATGGTAGTAATCTTGTTGCTTGAACTCCTGGCGTTTTGAAAGAAATGTTATTATCTCTTTTAGAGACGGGGCGCAAAAATATTAGCGCATACGGTGACTCACATTCCCATACTGGCGCCAAAAAGATCTCAATGTCACAGCGTGAGTAGACAGTCTTTATTTTGACCCTTGCTTTTGAGATAAGTAAAATCCAACAACGCGTATTTTAGGTACAGAATGCTCATCGGCTATTGCATTTGCGCGTAGTTTTCATTTGTAGCTAAATGTGACAGCTTTTTATTTGGTCATTGTGACCTGCTAGACTGGATCCATCTACCTGGTCATTTGTGTGAACTTCGTGCCAAAAATAAATGCCTTCGCCAAACTAGATTAGTGTTTTGTGTAATGATGAGGAGTGTAAACAATATTTGTGGTGCGAAGAATAAGCCGAATGTAGCACTCGAATAAATGCATCTATTTTGCAATGGGTGTGATAAATTCCTCCATTTTCGCTTATTTTTGCTTCCAATTAGGCTCGAGTTGTATGCACTGAGAAGTTTAGCATGACAACGGCTGGAGATTTTGCCTTACTTTTAGTCCTTACCTTGTCATTCAATTCCGGATCTACTTAGCTGAGCGTGATTAATTCTAAACGCCGGTGTGTTTAGACTGTACGGATCGCCTAGAAGTTGGTGCATTTTTTGTTCTCTACCCCATTGTTAATGAGGAGTTCCCTGGCGATTTCCTCGAAAACTCCCCAAGTGGCGGGAATAAACTTCACGTTTGCATAGCTAGGAAGAATTCGATTTTGGCTTGCGAAATCGCGTAGTATTTTGGTTTAAGGTTCTATTAAGGCCTCTTGCCGTTAGTCAGAGGGAGAAATGTGTCTTTTTTTGGCTAGAAGTATTCCGAATTATTTAGGTACTGAAATCAAGCAATCCGTTATCTACCGGCTTTTGGTTCAAGTTGTTGCCAGTGTTGTTGGTGAGGGGTAAAAAAATACCATTTTAGTTTCCATTGCATCCCGAGATCAGTCGATATAAATTGGTCCCCCTTCTCATCAGGATGCGTTAGTCCACTGCGCTGCTTTGCAGACCTGGGATTTGTTGGTGCATACTTCGTCATTGGACTTTGACTATTCCAATTAGCCATGTGGTTAATGCATCCTTCCTTCATTAAACCATAGCGCTCAGGCTATCTCTGCCGGCTTTGTAAGGTAGTGGTATGAATAACAAGCACGAGGTAGAAGGAGCCTGCGCAACATTACCTTTGATTAAACCAATTGTCATTCCGCTACAGCTGATAGCCCCGGCTCGGTTGAACCGGCTACTGGGGCTACCAAAGAAGTGTCATCGGAGCCTGAGTGCAACTTAAGTAGTGAACCAAAAATCGGTGGGGCTGGTGATAGGCCGGGAGAAGATCCCAGTGTATTTTCCCTTGGTAAGGATAGTAGGTTTCCGTGTTACAATTTGCCGTTTCATTGTTATCCCACGTGTGGTTTTGGGTTCCCGCAGGTTTGCGAGAATAGTAGGTAGTCCTTTTAGTTTACTCATGTGATTCCTTTCAGGAGAAGTAAGTTTCTGATTTACACTTTAAACGGTGTGGTTTTCTCCTTTTCTTACTTTTTTTCACCCATTCGCTTTTAGCTCAGTAGACAGAAGCTTCCTTCGTTGAATTTATAATCTACTTTAGTTTGTTAGCTATCTAGCTAGTGCCTCGTGCGTTCTTATTGTTTCTAGTGCCAGCAATGGTTGTGGAACGTCGTATAGTTGCCGCAGACGGGCTTAAGCAAGCCCCAACTAATTGTTGCGGAAATTGGACCCTAAACTGCATGAATTTTTCATTCGCTAGGTTCTAATTTATACTGAACATTTTGGATTGTGGTTACCCTTCGGCCTTTTTTACATCCATTTTTTTTGAAATCGCGGACAGGTGAAAGTAACTTTTGATGGCTTTAGATGGGCCCCTCTGTAAAGCCAATGCACTAGCATATGTAGACCTAAATACCGCCAAACAAAGGTAGTTTTGTCGAAACTTGGGGAAGCCTAGAATGCAGGCTGTGAACATTACTCAGTTGTCAATTAACCGGATGGGGAGGTACTTTTTGCTTCCTCTCACCCAGGCTTCTTTGTAGCAGGCAGGCATAAGCAAATTATCATTACGATGACATTATTGTCATCTATGTTGCTGGTACATAATTTGATTTGAAACGCACTCACTAGCCGCCAGCCGTGAGACCTCTCCCATAAGGACCGCTTCAGAAGTGGACTACAACGTGGGTGGTGCGAGTGCAGCCAGAGCCTATGCCAAGACTCTCAGTTCCACGATCAGCCGTCGGAAGGGACTAGGTTTCGGCGCCAGCGCTACGGTGCGTGGCCTACGAAGGACCTCCCGACCTGTGCCCCATAGTCAGGATCACTCTCGGGAGGGCTCACCAATCTCTGCTGTCAGTGCCAACGCCCCCTACACTTATGGTGCTGCCAACGCCGCCGGCTCCGTCACAAATAAAAGGCGTAGGTGGTAATTGTGATGTCTGGAACTTGATGTGTTCATCTGAGTTATCTTTAAGGGAGCTACAGGGCGTGCGGGTTTGGAAGTATCCCCATTACTGGTGTAGATAAGGGCTGTGAGGTCATCACCATGAGTGCAGGTGAGGGACTGAAAATGTCCATGTGGTTTTTCATCTTGGTCATCGCTCCCATCGGTCTGTTTCAACCATCCTATGTTTTCTTGGCAAATTTTAGTAAACTGCATGACAGGGTCGAAGATATTATCATGGAGGGTTCATTTCAAATGTAGTCTAGAGGTCGAGTGACGTCAACAGAGGGCACCTTTCGCATGCCAACCTCTTTTCATTGAAACTTTTGCCTTAAAAAAATCTGTTTCGTAAATTACTGTACACAAAAATACCGTATGCCAGTTCTTTAAGAACGACCTTGGACACTGCTGTTGCGAGAAGCCAGCGTGGTATTTTCAATAGCCCTTTTTTGTGAGGCCCCATGGATTCCTCTGTTCACAGTAGATGCCTTTCCCTCTATGACAGTTTTGGTGTTATTCTTCTTTCGACATGACGCTGTAATTGTCTCTAAAGCCATTGTGAAGGATGCAGATATTCTAAACGTTGTTTTACACTCATGGTAGCTTTGGAGTTATTTCCATTCAACGACTCAATTTGATTAGTGGCACCACTTTTAACTTGGTAGTTTTTTTTTGTTTTCAATAGCATTAATTAGTCGTTGTTTGGCTGCAGTGATTGCTGAAGTTCTGAGGGTTGTTGAAAAAATTTATTCCTGCTAGTGGGTTTTGTAGCTCTTGCCACTTAATTTGTTTGAAAGAAATTCCCTCGCTCCTGCTCACTGTGCATTTTTTCCTTTCTCATTTCTTTAGCTTCGTTATCGTCAATGAGCGATGCTGGATATTCACAGGTGAGTTGTCTCTTCGACAAAAAGCACCTTTTGTACCTGTGCGCCTGGTAACACTAGTAATCGTGTCCAATTTGATGAAGGCTTCCTGCTTTACTACACACACTGCACAAACGCTTTTTTGGATCAATTTATTTGGGCGTGGCCCTTCGACCACCCAGGTCTATTTCATGCTAAATTGTTTCCATTGCGCTTTGCGCATTCCCTTAAAAGCCCCTTAGGTGGATTTTGATGTGTACTTGACAGCTACGCGAGAAAACAAATGTTTTCTTTTGTAAAGCTGAGGAATCCCGTTTTTCCCAAAATAACCGGATACAACTCCTTACTTTGACCAGTGAATTTTTTAGCACCGTAATTAACATGAATTCAGCATCAGGTCGAACCTGTTTTGTTCGTGTTGTTAACATCTGATACCTGGATGCAACACCATTTCCTGACTATTCTGTTTCGATCTATTTCAAGTTCAAGAGCCAATCCCGTCGCCAATACGAGTCAGACGACAATGCCAGTGAGACGTCTTCTATGTGTTCTGAGCGCTCGGGTCAATCCATGCCAGTATATCGTCGTACTCACCTGCGTCCTGTTAACGTAGGTCATACCTACTAATGTATATGGCAATAGTTTGTTCATTCTCTTGGTTTTCTAGAATGAAAATTGCCTTTATGTACCGAAATAAGTTTGAGTACCCAGCATGGCCGATGTCAATTTTTTTACATCTTTTTATAAAACTAATGTTGCCTTACCAGCGTCTTGCGGTTCCTCGGCCCGTCCAGGTACGTTCCGTGTGAGCGTGTGTGTCTACTGCTAATAATGTCGCATGTTTTGGCACGGAGTGCCTACTAAGGATACACCGACTTTCACCTGATGTTGTGGTCCTGTATTCGAGGGCTATTCAGATTGAATGACTTTGAGTTTACAAAAGATGGGAAAAACATTCCGAGAGCTGGAGATGTTTTTTTGCCGCACGACCCACTTTTACTTTTAAACACTTACTTCGTTGTGTAAACAATAACCTAAAAGCTTTGGTATGGAAAGATTTGTCATCACAGCGGAAAGCTGTGGTTGGGTGTCTTGTCATCGTAAAAACTGTGCTTAAGGTCTTCTGGGAATTCAACGCCTCCGATCACAGGAAACTTATTTCACCATCCGCCACACGTTACTGAATGCACGCAATTGCTACTACTGTCGTCTCCTATCTTGTTTAACCGTATCTGCGCTAACCATTTACCACTGCTTGTAGTAACATCACGGCAGCATCTGTATTTCTCCTTGTGAAATTGAAGTCCCACCTTGTCCTAAACGTACATTCCCTGGGTATTAGGATAAACTCATTCCTTAGTATTGTGTGCGCCACTTCCTTTTACATTTGATTACAATTTAGGCATACCTTAAGTGGAGTGATTTGCGAAGTCGAACGTAATAAAAAGTGAGACTCACTTTGTTTTGTTAAAAAAACATCTGCTTCACAGGGAATCGGGGAGATAATCAAATTGTTGGGGAGTTCCCAATGGTCTGAGAAGAAGGAGGGTCTATTGCACTTGAAGGAGTATCTCCGATCGGGTCAGCCTTTGAGGTAAGTGTCAATGCCTCTTCTCTTGCGCCACTACTATCTGAACGTTCTTTTTAGACCTGGCTTTGAATGTTTTTTTTTTCAAGGACTCGGGTCATATTTTCTCCCATTACCATACAGATTGTGGTTGCTTTGAATCGTGCTTGTACGAAGGCTCCTCTTCTTTGCAAACTCAACATGAAATGCGGTAGCAAGTTTTTGCCATCTTCTGCCTCAGTTTGCTCTAAAATGCTAGCTTTGTGTACAGAGTTTAACCCTAGTGCTGTGCACCCGTTTTCGAGCCAAAGGTGTTCCTCCAACAAGTTGTTTTCTCACCAAAGAATGTCGTTTTTCTGATACTAACTAGTCTTTTTTCTAGACTGTACTGGATTTGTTGTGACACAATTTTGAAAGCTCTTTATTCACCGATTATGTCATTGTTTGGTCAATTCTATGCTCTGGGCCAAGCTGCCCACCGCTTCTGGTCGTAAAAAAGCTTCTGCAAAAAGTCTAGAAAGGGCTTTTCGTGCAATATATTTTAAAGTGTAGTAATTGCAAGTCCTGATAGGCATGTGGTTCATGAGAAACACTTTGAAGGAGGTGGAATAAATTTTCACAAGCTTTGATTCGCTCGTCTGAGACCTTCTTAATCATTATCGTTACTTCTCGATCACATTACTATATTCTATTGAACTTCCTTTTCTTTCGTCCATTTTTTAACAGATTATATGGCCACGGTGGGTTGAAATTGAGCTATATTTTTTGACTCTTTAGCCATGCGGAGGTTATGCGTGTTGCCGAGGTTCTCAGTGTAATTTTCGGCGAATCCTCGAGCAAGGTAGGCTTTCCTCCTGCACCCGATAGAATTTGGTGCAAAAAGGAGTATCCTAACACACATTTATGTATCAACTGAGTACCCGCCAATTTGGGAATGCACCACTCCACCTTATGATACTCCTACAGGTAATCACCCCCTTCATGGAGACACTGCAGCTCTTCATCAAGGGCTACCACCAATTCCTCCACGATTGGATCTACATTGCTATGGTACGACTCTTCAACCGCCAAGGGCAAGAAGTTCTCTCCACTCATCAAAAGTCCATTGCTGACACGCTTGCTGTCATTCGGTGCGTCTTATTGCATTTTTTTGTGATTGCAAATTTTGTTCCTAATGGCCATTTTTGTAACAAAGAGAAAGATTTTCAGTGGTTCTATTGTGCCACAAATTTTTCTTTACTAGCCTCTCTCATTTTTTGGGCATATGATAGCCCAAACCTCCCCTTTTCAGTGATGATTAGATTATTCTTATCTTTGATTCAAGGGTACTCCTATTCTACTGACACCGTAGGCTCTAGATTTTTTATTTAAAAATGGCTTGTAAATCCGGCTTACCTCTTCTGCCTCTACTTTTTAGTTCTGATTAATTACTCAAATTTTGGCTCAACTGCCTGATTCAACTTTATTAATATTTCTTTTATTCCCTTGGCACCTGAATTTTAGTCCTCCAAATCAAGCTGAGTCCAAACTGACTTCATCTTGCTAAATTGCTTTGAGATTTTTTCATCCTACATTTGTCTGTTATCTAATTCCCCAAATGACTCAAATGTGTGGCCGTCTTTTTTCAATAACCACTTTTTATAAATAAGAATAACAATAGCATCCCTAATTGGCCGTTTGGTAAGAGTTGACCAATCCCCTCGACTGATCTTTTCTGCCGTTCTCAGGTCCCACTTCCCCCTCAACTTGCAGTTTGCCTGTTGCTGCCGCTTTATAATCGACGATGCGATGTCTCCCACCCTGAAAGTGAAGGCGCGAGTTTTGGAGTACCTTAAGGACCTTCTCGTCATGATGCCTGTCGACACCATAAACAACCCCTCCAACGAAATGGTGAAGAGCATTGCTCGTGTTATTGCTTGGTCTACGGAACCCAAGTCGGCCGATGTTCGACGGGTGAGTATTGGTTTCAAGCTGTTTTCATTTGACTTTGATGAGAAACACGTAAGTTTACTCGGATCCAAACACAGGCTACGACCTAAATCGGTTATACTTGCACTCTTTGTTGTTAAAGTTTGCACACTTCATCGAAAAGAGCTTTCTCTGGCCTAGTGTTCATCAATGACCCAAGTCCAAAAGTCATTTAATTTGCCTTTATTGTGAGAATGATACAGTCTATTTATGGCTATTAATATTACTTGTTTTAAACGGAATAAAATTTTGCCTCAAGTCTCATTCATTGATAATGCCGAGATGTTACTTATAATATGACGTCAGAGTTATTCCTATAGATTTCGTCAGACGTGGATTTTGAAGTAACTGAAACACTTGTGACAGGCCAATGTCACCACCGTGGAAGCCGACTCATGCCTAGGTACTCATATCTGACCGTTTTTCCGTTAGTAATGAGGTGGATCGGTTTTTTTGTAAAATGTCGAAATATCTGGATCAACTTTTAGTTTTCCTGGTGAACGGTAGTATCCTTCTATAGGAAACATAGGCTTGTAGACGTGGGAGTTACCTTAAATGTCTTTGGGAATTTCTTCGCCTGCAGTTGGCAAGCCGCGTGGTAATAAAGCTTTCGGACCTCAACCCGGCAGCGTTCGCCAGCGTGGTTAAGCAGATGCCAAAGGCCTCCCAGGATCAGTCGGCGAAACTGCTAAAGACCTACCAGAAGACCGCCACTGCCAGCACCGGCAGCCACGAGGCTACCTCCCCTGATGGCTCACGCACCTCTAATCGGTTAATCAAGTGCGTTTCGCCCTTAATTATCCATATTTGTGCACTACTGTACAAATAAGTCTTCCCGGTTTCGTTGAGATAGGATTTTAATGTATTTGTCTGCGAAAAAAAAGTATGATTGTTTCCCTTGGGGCTCACCCAGCTCTCCTACCAATGATTTGCTTCCGGTGTCCTAAGATTGTTGGAGTTGTAAACACCGAAAAATCTGCAAAATCCTTGTAAGGTACACCGGTCTGGAAGTGGGTTTATTGACTAACGAAAGGACTGGGTGGCCAATAGTATAGGCAGCATGAACACAGACAATAGAGTCGTGGGAGACTGGAAAACTTCGTTTATTTGAAGTACATAGCATTCTGTTACAGGGTAGCGCCTACGTCAAATCCCACTTCCAATATTTTATACGCATAGCGGGCCTTCTATAGGGTTCAGTTTCAAGACAATTCGTATTTTGGAATGAAAATTTTCTAACTGCTTTCATTTGCTAGCTAAACAAGTCGTTCATTACTATTTCGAGTTATTTGTACTGCCGTAGTTATACAAAGACACTCACATACGGAAACAACACCGATCATTTACCCCATAATTCCACGTAAATGTTCCAAAAACATTACAAAATTTGGATCGTACCAAATGCCTCAAGAAGGTCATTTTTCTATCACCAAGCCCCACTTTTTTGCATGAGTTTAATTTGCCACTATTTTTTTTAACACTGCAATCGTGTAGCACCAAGAAAAGGCAATAGTCGACAGGCGAGATATTAGAGGAATACGAAGGATGGAGCTGGGCATTATCTCCCTTCCATCCTAACCCGAGTGCAAATGGTCTCATGGGGGGATTTTTTGGCAGCATGAGGCACAAGTTCCTGTGTTGCCCTGGAAGAAAAGAAGCGAGCTCTTTACGCACTGATTGATTCGTCCTGGATGTTTCTGATGAAGAAGTTCCTACACACGTTCGATTTGGATCTAATTGGTTTGAGTAGAGAGACCTCGGGTATGATGGTTTGGCCTTCAAAAGCTAAAGAATTCTTAGGGATCAATTGTGTTTTCTTGCCCACAACACACACATAGCATGCACACTCTTCTGCGGATGGAGTGGTGCATGCTTTGGAAGTGTGAGATGGTAGGTAGTTTGATGGTAATCACTAATGCGTTTTTTTTGCCTAACGAGCGTTGAACTGAAATACAGAAGCTATTTTCCATCTCAAGTTATTCAGTTAAAAACTATGTAAAAACAGTGTGTGAAGGAAGGGCGTGAAGAGCAACAAATGGGCGGTTCTTGAAGCTTATCTTCTGCCAACTGTTAATGCGCAGAATGTGGAAGGCGCCCATTTGTTTAGCTTTCTTCACGACTTTTCCTTCCCAGTTGATGTAAGTTTAAGCGAATTATTTCATGACTTCTGCTAAGCATTACTAATTTTTGACAGCTTTCTGTTGTTGTGGCGAATGAAAGTTCATTTTAAAAATAATGATTTGATTTATCATCGTGATCAAACCTTCAAACCACTTGTGGCTGGTATGTTCTGCCACCACGTACCGCACCATCTCAAAATACTGTGTACTAGATTTGACGAGAAGGTTCTGCAGCTGCACAATTGAGTTGGACTTGGCTTGGGGAGCAGACAAACTCGAATTTACTTCGTCGGGTTCGACCGATATGTGATGTTGCAAGGGTTTAAAATGGAGGAAAACGGGGCGGTAGCTTAATCAGGAGTACTGTACTGGTAGACTGAGGCATTTATATCGTTGATTATGCATGCATGTTAGCAATTGCATGTATCTCGCATGCCATTTCAGCAGACTACATGGAAGTCACATTTTTTTTCGCTATATAATGGAGATGCGGATAACACATTTAGGTGTTAATTATCGTAGATACATTTGATTACATGCAAGAATGGCAATTCCCCAGGCATCTATTAACTGTACGTTTTCTTTCTTCCTCTGCCTGTTCTGCAAATTCTAACAATATTCTCACCTGGTTTCGCTAATCGGCACGGTGTCTTTTGTTGCTTTTGTTTTTGTTGCACTGGTCTTCGCTTTGAATGAAACCTCACATTGCTTTTGTTCATACAGCAGCTTCCGGCGTTCATTCTCATTAAGGCAGCCAACTTCATCCCGATGGCATTGCGCTAGGTAACCGAACTGGTGCTCATTGAAAGCTTAAGAACATGCCTCGACTTATTGCAGTCACGGTTTTCCACTAGTCGTTTCTAACCCATCAAGTGGACTTCCGTTAGACGTTACTTAGGTTTAAAAAAATACACTTGAGATGCTATCATTTATCAGGCAGCTTTGAGTTCCATGAAATGTCACAGGCGTTTCTGATTGCATTATTTTCCTTGAAATGCTCTTTTTACCTGTTCGTTATCAGCTTATGTCAGTTATTATGGCATATTTGCATAGTAAATACGAAATTTAGGGGTAATCTGTTGCCCTGTGAGCAGGACTTGCGTAGACACGCCAGCTTTAGCCTATTGCTGTGTTCGTTCTTTATTTCAGGTTCCATACCAGGAAGTTCATTCCTGTTTCCTTGTTGAGTATTAAGCGCTTCCACTTTGATCACATCATTTCTCACCAAATCATTAGAAGGCAGAATTACGGCTTAGCCAATGCGCTCTGCTAATTTGCAATACCTTTTCTTTTTCACAGTCATTACTTTTAATAGCTGTCGTTTTCGATTAATGGTCTTTTCAGTTAAGGTGCACTTTTATTTTCCATGCAATTTCGTAAATGTGATTTTTTTTCCCACTGTCGTTATCGTTGACTCTAAGTTTAATTATTGTTGCATTGGTTACAAGCATAAAATGAGTGGGTGAGATTTGGTATTTTGCATTGGAATAAATCCTTATGTGCTTAAAAATAAGCATAGGATTAAGTAACCGTTTTATTATTTGGTAGGAAACTGATTCCTCTTATGTCTAAATCTTGAGTCTGCAATCTAGGTTTGAAGTGTTATTATTTGTTTTAAAAGGTAAACCATGTCGGGGTACATCCAAGAAGTTGGCTAAAATTAAGTTTCGGCTAAGATTTAAGCGGTAGTTTACAAGCTGCAATCACCCTCTTATCAAACTAACTGGAGGTTGCTTTGCCTAATCGTGTTAGCATATCTGCTCATGCCACATTTGCAGTTATACACGCGTACCCATCATCCGTTGTCATTCACACAACCTTTCCTCTCCCCCTTCCCCCTCTGATCTTAAGACCTCAAGTGGGCAATGGTGGCAAGCCTTTTAGTCCCATATCACCAGTTTATGTGCCTGCGGTGCAACAGGAGGTCGATCACTTCCAAGCCTCAGGCAAAAATCGATCTACTAGCATTCCTGATGGTCGTGTGGGAGTGGAGCCCTCTTCAAGTTATGGTCAGCCACCACCATTGCCGCCACTCTACTCGGCCAACACGGTAAGACAGAATGGTCAAATGACCGATGGAGCGCATCATTACTTCTCCATAGCCACTGGCAGTAGTCACTCGCCTGCAGCTGGGGATTCTGGTAACTTGCAACAATTCTCACCGCAATACTCCTACCTTCCGGCTAAAAGTGTGAGTGATTTTGATTTTGGAGAATTTCATTCATGTCAAAGCTCGGCAGAGTAAATAACCCTCTTTTCTCCCTTTTACAGCCACAGCAACAGCCTCCGACCTCGATACTCAGCGGGTTCAGCAATGACCGTAAGTTCCTGTGGTGTCTCGCACGTCTGTCATGCATTGCCATGATGGTTTGCTGATGCCCTACAATTGATCCATTTTCACCGTACAGTGCTCTGCCCCAAGTTAAAAAAGCCCGTCATCGGGTATCAGACATTGAAAAAGATACGCGGTAAGCCCACGGCCCAAGCCTCTACCTCCCCCCTTTCTCTGTTTCTCGTTATTCCACCCTCTCTCCCGAGCATCAGCATGCGTGCGTTCGCTTGCATTCCTGCAACAGCAATGGCAGCAGCAGTATCAAGGATTGAAGTCTTCAGTGAACTCTCCTTTGTTCTTGTTTGCTACTCATTTTTCGCTGCAGTCGCTTTCTTTTTTTAATTTTCTGACAGTTTAAATGTGACCGTTCCCTCGTAGATTTACCGGTTGAGCCATGGAAATTGAAATGAAAGGCTGGGTGGATTGCCTCTATCCACTCTGGCTAGAATGCCATGTTGCTGGTTGTTAGGGCTATTTTCTTTATTTTTGTCAGTGTTTTTCTACTTTTTCTTGTTTTGAGCCGAATTGCGTGTAAGCGAAGCGCTCAGTGCACTCTCAGCAAATTGGGCTCCCATTTACGTTGTCGCATTGTTTCTCGGAGTGCCACCATCTCTATTCATAAATGTGCATGCTCAGATTTTGAACCTATTGAAAGTTGCGTATTATTAAAATTCCCGCACTTGCTGTCTTGCCTTTTGCAGAGATGCCTCCAGAGGACGCCATTACCGAGATTCTGCAGGAGCTCTCCAACTATAATGACAGGTGGGGTGTTATTTCTAACATTCAGATTAGTAACACGAGGCGCGTTATTGTTTCGTATCCTTTAGATATGAGCAACGGAAGGCGTGTATGTTAAAGCTAATCAAACTGCTACGAGACGGCACCATTCAGACTTGGGAAGAGCACTCGAAACCCACTCTGTTGATTCTCTTGGAGTCTCTCTCGGATACGTCTGTATGTCACTTGTCCCATAGCGTATATTTATTCGGCTTTATTATCCACATGCATACATATATGCTTACTGGATTGGTCGTAATATTGCATTTAGAATGCATTGGGTGTGGTTCCCTTTAAGCGCGTTCGTGTAGGGTAGCTTTGCCATGTTTTTGCGCCTTTGACTGATGACACCACGAGTTGCTGTAGTAGTTCGTACTGTTACATTCTATTCACGACTTAATTCTGTCCGGTCTAACATTTTAGTAGGGCAGAATACTGCATGACCTTACATACGGGTGGTTTAAAGGAACCAAGCTTCCCATCCTCTTGATATGTTTTAAATGATATTTCTAATAATCTTTGAACACCTACAACTACAAGAACAAAAGCAATGGGCATTTAGGGGATTGAAATAGTCGAGAATCAATGCAATCACTATGCTGGGTCTAATCGTTCCCTACAGATGCACTGATATATGGGGTGATTCTGATGTCACTTTCTTACAATTTTTCCCGCTTTGATCGTCACCTAACCGGTCTTTTCAAAAGCATTATCGCAATGGATTCTCACCTTAACTTTGACTGCTTTCCTCGGTTCTCGTGATTTAGCGCCTCAAAAGTAAATTTTAGCTCATCTCAGGCGGTTTAATTGAAACAAAAACTTATAATTTAACAAAACTAGGTATTTTCATTACCTCGCTGCCAATTAATGTCCAAATAGTTTCTGCAGAAACAATCACATGAAGCACATTTTTAAAGATTAGGAAATTTTCGCCGAAGTGGGTTGCGGTAAGAAGAGTTTTTTTTTTTGATGTGACCGTTTGCTAACTTTAAATCACATTGTGTGTGTGTGTGTGTGCGTACGTCTTTTGAGTCGGTCGGGTTTGTCTGCTCGCACCCGTGTGAGTTTTGTGCAGGTCAGAGATGCCTACGCAGCAATTAGCAATTTTGTCTTCCTTTCCCTCCCCCCTCTGTCCTCCCTGCCCTGGCGGCCAGAACGAGACGCGTGCGTTGGCCTTGCGAGTGCTACAGGAATTGGTGCGCACGCAGGGCGACCTCATCAGCGACTACGCCTGCCTAACTGTGATGAAAATCCTCGAGGCCTGTAACGACATTGACAAGGGGGTATGTTTTCCACCTTTCCCTGCCTCTCCTCTCTGCGTTGTTCCTTCCTCAAAATACCCACTGTTGGCCATTGTGGGTATTTCCTAGAAACTGAATTCATTTGTACTTGGAGACGGCTATGAGCAACTAAATGTTGTTGAATTTGTTCGTGCGGAGCCAGCGTAGTGTATTGCCATATGCGTTGTCATTTGTCCAGTCGATGTATAAGTTAATAAAATTCTGCTATTCTCTTTTTTTCATCACGTTTGGTATTTATTCCGAAGTTGTATTTTGTTTAGATGTAGGCGATCATTTGATGGCAGGCTCCATGTGTGATTTCGTTTGCCCATAATGTGTAAACATCATAATTGAAATGGAAGGCAGATGCCTAACATCAGTGCATTTTCTTATTTCATTGGTTTTTAGGTCAAGCAGGTGTCACGTTGGCGCAAGATGTATGTCACTTGTCGGAATGATGGGATTTTAGAGCATGATAAACACAAACAACAACCGCGGGCCTTTGTGATTTCTCTTCAAAAATGTCACATGTGATCATATCTGGTACTAACTCTGGCTTTTCACTCTACTTAACTAAAGGCGATCAATTTCAAATGATCGGCATGGGTGATTTCTTTCTTATGTGGACACGTTGCCGAAGTAAAATAGGAATTTAATGTTACCTCTTAGCAGCCCCAGCAGGCAACTGGCTGCAAACTAGTCTTAAAAGTTGGAGCAAGTGTAATGTCACAGCATGCGTGATGTCGTTTGTCGTGCCGATAACGAATTAACTCAAGGCGGGTACACATTAAACGGGTATTATATGTGGTGCTTTTCCCGCCCATCAACTCACCTAGGTAAACGTCAACAAAGCTATTGGTGGACCTAAAGGGTGGACGGAGATTTTATGCTTATCCCTGCGAATAAATGCTTTTCTATCCAAATCCCAGCCATCATTCAGTTAAATGGTGCCATTGATGGACTATGTAACTAGGTTTTATGCATAATTGTGAGGGAACTGTTCTCCAGCCCCACTTTGCAAGGCTTTTATTCAAATGATTTTGTAAAGATTTTTGCAGAACTCTCATTTATGCTCTCTCATTGTCTTCATTTTTTTATTTGGGTTGGTCTTGCTCACAGATGCTTTGGTTCTCAAAGCAACGTGCCTTTGTTGTCCTCGAATTTATTTCGTCCAGACAAACTTGGGCCGCACCAATCTGGGAGAAGCTTGCAGAAGGAACGAGAGGACTAGAGTCGATCAGAGCTTCGTATCGCCATCATGGGAGCCAGATCACGCGAGACTGAAAAAGATGGCGTACTGCTACATAGTTAAAATACCCGTTGTTAGGTTGCAATATAAATCTAGGCGCTTCTTCATTATATTGCTAGCTAGGCTTTACCCAAAAAAGGTGATCATTGTTGACACCAGAAATGCCTTGTCTACTGGAAGTGGGCGTAGCATATCATTGAAGCGTCCGGATTACCCTTGAGAACACTGCAGCCTTACTATAAACCTACGGCCGAAGCTGAGTGGTTAGCGGCTTAGGTAACATGGGAAGAACCCATGCAACCACTAGAGGTTGACCGAAAAGAGCAGTGCAGACTCTTAAAATGGGCATCATTCTTATCCTCTGCACCAGGTGATTCGCTCAGCCGAGGAGTGCGCACAGACAGTGGCACGCTACCTTTCGCAGGAGCTCTGCCTACGCCTCCTCACCACAGTGATTAATGACAACCAAACCTCGCTGAACTTGCCCGCGGTGAAGATGCAGACCCAGGTCATCAAGGTCTCCTCCCCTGAACTGGTTCAAGAGGTCCTACCTGATCTCATTCCTGGACTCATTGCGGTAGGTAGAATTTGAACTCTAGCACTGCTTTTTCACCATCTTTGCTTTATCACAATTTACAGAGCGGAAATTGGATACGTGGAGGATGTGGTGATTACAGGAGCTGAGTTTTCGAGTATATCTTTTGGTCTGAATTTCCCAGATGTTCCATCAATTCACTCTAGTCTCGCCTAATGCTTTGACGTTTCAAACTACCTCCTTTGCTATTCATTTGAAAAGATCGTTGAATTTCTTAGTCTATTCGTTGTTTAAAAAAATTTGTTATGTCGAAAATAATCTGATGATTGGAAACTAGAGCCTGCATTTTAAACGACAATTTAAAAGCCAATTTCATTTAAAGCGAAAGGTGAGAACACAAAGGCAGTCAAATATAGTACTCAGTAAGCGATTTCAAACACAAGTTCATTGTACTGAAACGACACTTGGAAATCCCACGCGATCTGAAAAAAAAAACTCACGTGAAGATTGATTTGAAGTGGCTTGAGCGTGTCAGTGACAGTTGTGTGAGTCGGATGCCAAGCCAATTGTTCTGATCTTACAGTCAGTACAAGATGTATTAGGTAGGAAGTGCCAAGCCCGCTTTTAGACAGGCACTTAGAAAATCGTGGTTAACTGAGTAGCTAATTAAGATGGATAGTGATGACAGAATTGTATCCGCGTATTTGCATGCTTCTTTCAGTAATGGTCTAGAAAGACAAGATGGAAGTAATCAAACTCAAAGTGGTGACAGTCTCGACCTTTGAACTTATTATCGTAATAAAGCCCGGCAGTTTTTCTCGAATGGTTAATATTTCCTGCATGATTTTCCCATTCTTTAACTGTACCATCGGTATAATAGGCGTTTTGTCATTGGAGATTTTAAATAGCTTGTAGAAGTGGCTTGCTGGAATCACTCATTGTGGGCGTTAATTTGTCGTGCAGACCGACTAGTACTAGTACACGTGCAGCTATGGCATTTCACACCTCTTGTTGTCTGTGTCACATTGGCATGCCAGTCTTCAAGTCAGTGTAAATTCAAATTCACATATTATTATAGTGATTTTATGGGATGCAGCTGTCTCCTTTCGCGCTCCGGATGCTAATTTCCCCAAATGACAGACATAGAGAAAGGTGGTAACTTTCAAGACACGCGTTGGCAACTTTGACGATGCACTTTCATCTTTCAAAATTGAGAAATTGGGTGGTGATTTGTTTCATCAATTGCATCGGATTCGGGGATCCAATACTTGGTTGGCAGAGCTACATAAAACTGTGTGACCTTTCATCAGAACCGATATGACATTAAGTGTTGGAGGAAGGCTGACTAACAAGTGGTCCCACCTAGAATGTGCGTTGGAAATTTTGGTGAATCAGCTTCAAAATTCAAAAGTTCCACAACATCAGCGGATTCGTACCGTAGGGGATATTGTTTCTCCAGCCTCAGTAATGATTACTGTTAAGGAATGTTCAACGCTGTGCTTTTGTCTGTTTAACATTGGTCTGTCGGTATGAAGCGCTCTGTTGGGATAATACAGTGCCTCCATTCCCGTAACTATGCGTTGTTGTACATGGTACTGATTTAGCTCATTTCTCTTAATTCAGTTCTTCTGCTATCTACTTCTTTTCCCCTCTTCTATGTTGCTTTTCTAGGCCTGCAACCACGAGGACAGTCACATGCGCAAAGCCAGTATCTTCTGTCTTGTACAGATTGCTATTAAGTTTGGCGACGCCGTGTGGGACTACCTCAACGAGCTGACTGCAAGCAAGGTAATAAACCGAGTTGGGGCATAAGTTTCCCTTCCGGGCTGTCCTTAATGATTTTTCTCCATGTCACTAAACAGTTTACCTAAGAAAACCTTCATGCTCGCCTTACTGCCAAATACACACAGCTAATTAGGATGGGGTTGTGCGGCGAGCACTTGAGATTTCGGATTTAGCTTATCGGTGGGGTACAAAAGGCGAAAGGGCTATTTCTTATTTTTGATATCATCTCACTTCATGCAGTCACCCAGTTTAATTACTTTTTTCGGAGGGGTACTACTTAGTTTTTCGTTAGTAAACTGATCTCAATACTGCTGTATAATCATTCGGCTTGGGACTCATCATCACTACTGTTTTATAGCTTGGCTTATTTATTTGGAAATAATGGACGTTGCCTTGATGGGTGATTTTTCGAGATAGGTTAACTTCGGTTTTTTTTATTTCTCAGAATTTCCTTAATGCTACCTGGTATCAATTAGAACGGGTAAATGTGTATTTTTTAGTCTCGATAGCTCATTTTGAAATGCTAATATGGTTTGGGTTGGAAGTGAATCATCATTGGAAATGTCAGTTAGTCATAATCAAAAATCTCTAATAAACGATGTCGCACAGGCCGGAGCCAAATCATCATCAAGGCGACTACTAGCCTCCAAAATATTCTTTTTAAACGTGATAGACGCTCCTGCTCATGGTTTAAAATACAGAAACAATTATAATGCACCGTGTTTACCTGTCTGATTGGTCTCGAAATTGCTGTCCGTGATTGTATTTTCGTGTTTAAATGAAGATTTATAGGAGTTATTGTTATATATCCATCTTTTAGAAACGCCTTCTGCGCATATACATTGACAAGGAGCTAGAGGGGTCTGGAAAGTCGAGTGATTCAGTTCGCATAAGTGGCAATCTGTCAATCGCTTGAAGGCACAATGGCGAAGAGATTGCAGATTTTTTCTAGTTCTCTGCCAACATTCTTCGACTCACATTCGCTTGAGATCTTCAAGTTCTCCTCCCTCCTCTCCTCCCCCCCGCCACACCCTATTATTACTCATGTATAAATCCCCGCTTTATGCATACATGCATCGTTGCAATAACTCTTCTCTCTCCCTGTTTTATCGTTCAATTTCATAAACATTTACTCGATTGTCTCACATCCCGATCGCCATTAGCCTGATTCAGTTCAATTCGTGTGATTTCCGTGCTTTCATTTTACCACATCGGTGCTTGCGCGCCCTTTCACACGTCTGTCACGCCGACATCCCGCTGTTGCTGCTGCTGCTGCTGCCGCCATGTCATTTCTCCCTCTCTGAAGGTGCACAAAGTTCTCCCTCTGAAGGATCATATCGGCTGATACGAACTTTAAGCCAATACAAATTCCTCCTCGCTGAGTTTGTTGATCTCTAGATGCGGGCGTTGTGGGACCTTGGATCGGACGATAGTACTTGAGCGGCGGCCTTCTTTAAACAAATCACAGTCCGTGGCTGATGGCATCAGTACGAATTTCGTGATATTCCGGCCTAGTCTCAATTTGGCGTTTTATCTTTATTTGGTGATGGTTTCCCATTAGAATAAGGGGGGG